AGTCTCGCTATGTAAATAACTTTTACAGAATTTTTTTGATGGTTTATTTAAAAATATATCATGCTTCGGTTTTGATAAAACTTAATACAATCTGAACGGGACGATCGATCAAATTAATTCGCACATGTAAAAGTACAGTATTTTATTAACATGATAGAAAAATGTCATTATCTGCTGTTTTATTGCAGTAATTTTCTATACATTCCTTGGTAAAAAATTAATTTCGAATTATCGTACCAGTCTCTCTTACATTATTTATACGCTAAACGGTTTCGTCTATATTTTGCGGCTTAAAAGGCGAACAAACTATAATATTTTTCTTCCTTAAACTTTAAATAGACAATACAAAGCGTTTTTTATCTAGTGAGGAATTGGCGTAGTGTCTAAGGCGACGGACGATTATCCAAAAGATGTCTTCAGTTCAAGTTTGAATCTCACTAGAGAAAATATTAAAAATTATGAAAAAATAATGTAGAAAAGTTTTTTTTGTCATAGTATTTTATGAGTATTTATGAGAAAGCGCTTATTCTATGAGTAATTATAAAAAATTATGGGAAAATTGAATTGAAGAACCTACGAAACAACAGGATCTGCGCGCAATCTGCAGCCAATCTGCCGTCATAGTCTGTCAACAGGCTCTGCGCGCAATCTGCCGCCAGTCTGTCGTCAGAGTCTGTTCGCAGACCCTGTCAACAATCTGGCGGTAGATTGGGGACGCAGATGTCTATAGATCTGTCGACAGATCCTGCTCGGATTCGACAGAACCTGTCGACAGTCTGACGTCAGTCTGCGCGCAGATTGCTTACTGGGTCATTCCAACAGTAGTGTTGCATGGCAGTTGCGAATACACTAAGTAGTATCGGAAGTGGAAGATTTGGTGCTTCTTGTCGATTTCATATCGATTTTTTAAAAGAAGGTAAGGAAATACAGAAATTAGTACAATAATTAGTATAATTGATATAATAAATTGCATAATAATTAATATAATATAATAATTAATATATAATAATATAATAATATAGTATAATAATTAATATAATATGAAAAGAACTGATTGATTATGATCTCAGTGTATTGAGAACTCTTTTTTATACTTATAACCACGTAGTGGAGTAATTAACCACACAACATAACAATTAACAAGATAACATTTAAATCGGGACATAAAATGTTTTTAAAACGGTTTAATGACATTATACGTCATTTTATTCGATTCTAGACGTTGTGTAAGTGTATTTGAGAAAATTTTTTATACGTGTATGTAAGAAATTAGAATAAGTAGCGCCATCTAACGTTGTTAGATCAAAGCCTTTTGTCGTAGCGAGAGCTGAGGTTCCCTCTCCTTCGCGCCGATAGTTCAAATAGGTAGTTAGAGACGAAGGCCGGAGAGTCCAGAGGCAGTCGAGAAAGAGACCAGCGAGAGATCAGGAGAAGATCGGGGAGAGTCTCGCGTAGCGAAAAGAGCTAAGAGCTCCGGGTTTTGTGGGCCGGTTAGGGTCAAGGGATAAACCCATTTAGTTAAAGCGAATTAACGCTGTGGGTACGGAAGTAGTTCGCGTATCTGTTCAGATTTAGTCTGGTTGAAACGTTAGTAAAATAACGATAGTGAGGACAGTATTATTTGTGTTTTATTAGTGCGACCGTGAAGCACGGATCGGGCACGTGCGTGTGTGTACGAGTTAAGATAGACTTCTCATGTATGACTTGGCGAAACAAGTGTAAGGAACAAAGGATCTGTACGTTATAATAAACATTTATTAATTGTTCTCATCATTAGTCATTAATCACGTTCCGTCACCTGCACCGTGAAATAAGTTGCCTAGTACGTGATAGCAGGGCTGCTATCCGCGACTTATTTTACACCTAAAACAATAAAGATTCAAGGAGCGCGTATTCAAACGTTAACGGAAAGAAACGGATACGCCGAAAGGGCAACCAAGACCCTTACAAGTATTACTATTTCTGTTTTTCTTTTTTCTTCTAAAACATCAAAATAATATACCCTGATAGCCAAACATGCCAAAAGCAAATTTCGGCAAAGCGTGCTGCAAGTTTTATCAACAGAATAACAACAAAACTGCAGCATGATTTGCTATATCAAGTAATGTCGGCAAAATGTGTGCAATATTGCGATACGACCTGTTAATAATCGTGATAGCAAACTGCTGACAAAAACCGGACAAGCTATCATTAGTAGTATGACGGCATATTGATAGCAGAAACTGAGCAAATCGTGCCGAGCAATGTGTGATAACAAATTTGCAGCAAATAGCGAATAAGATGTGCCGAGCAACGCGTGACGGCAAATTTGCGGCAAAAATCGAACAAGACGTGCCGAGCAACATATGACGGCAAACTGACGGCAAAAGCCGAGCAAGTCGTGCCAAATCTCATGCAACATATGAGGGCCGTACGAAACACGTTTGTTAGTGAAGTTAAAGTGGAGTAACATATAGGACGACAGACTTGAAGAACCAAAGATCTCGAGTTCAAATCCAATGTGAGCAAGGAATTTTTCCAAGACAATATACACTGAGATACTTACGTTCTACATGATTAGGAAGTGTTCAATAATAAAAGCCACTGATGTCATCTCTAAAAGACACAAATAGCATTTCATAGAACTAAAAATTTTAACTAGGACAGTCTATCTACTGATGATATATGCCTAATGCAGAAAATAAACTACATCACTAGTTATATTTTTTTTGTCTAACTATTAGGTAACTTATGTTATATCCTCATTAGGAAAAGTGATATTGCCTAGCAACTAGTTTGGTTTTTTACCATAATTATTTTGTTTCTTTTATCTTATTATTAGTTAATATATTGTATATATTCGCAAAAACGTTACATTATTGGTTCATCACTGTCTAGTTACACTAACTAATAACTATGTGTATGTGTCTATTGGATACAACTTTATTATATAATGACTAGATTCTCATAAGGTGCAAATTCTACTCGGGTAGTTTTGGCCTGTTCATAGCCGGCACATCTTGCTCGATTTTTGCCGTAAATTTGCCATCACGCCTTGCTCGGCACGTCTTGCTCGCTGTTTGCTGCAAATTTGTCGTCACACGTTGCTCGACACGTCTTGTTCGGTTTTTGCAGCACTCTGCCCTCAAGTAATTTTGGCATGCTTTGCCGACATAATGCCAGTATAATGGTAGTATACATGCTGCAAATTTGCTGCAATCCTATGATTGATTTTGCCAGCAATTTGTCGGCATATTGCTGACATTTTACTATCAGGGTAGGTAACGCAACAAATTTACGCGAGACGATTTATATTTTTGTTCAAAATTTCTTCATTACAGAGTTATCGATTGTTGAACGTATAAAACCAAATTATATCACACTGGTTATATCGTCACCTGACAATCTATCAGCATAATGATACTCACAAGCATAGCTTTGATCTTAATATGTGTTGGTATAATCTATTTAACCTCGAATTATCGTAAGCGGTTACGATTCATTCAAGCAGCAAATGCACTACCAGGTCCAAAAACGAAACCAATTATTGGGAATGCCTACTACATTCTCCAGAGAAATTTTAACGGTAATGTTGCCGTTTATATATTTGTCAACATTATAAGCGGATAATAAAAATCTTGCAAAAATAAAAGTAAAATTTAATAAAATTATAGTAAGGTTTAAATTGACATTCAAATCATTAAGTGTAATAAATTCAATTTACCATGAAACCATTGAAGTATGTTAATTTCTTAGAAGAAGACGAATTAAAGACTAAGAGTAATTAAAGACTTTGCAAAAAAATAAACCAATATTATTTCAGAATAAAATTGTTTGACGTTTATTTGTCTAAAAATATAATATCATTAAATATAGACAATTGCTTAACAGTAACATATTTCTGAAGTATAAAAAATTTCAGAATTGTTGGACAGTGTATGTTTGCTGGTCGATACTTACCCGTCTCCATTTCGATTTTGGTTGGGCAGTAAATTACTTATTTCTGTAAACGAACCAGACCAAATTAAAGTAAGAGTGCAACATTTATATTACTTATTTGTTAATTTATTTATACATATTGAAAAAAAGCAGTTGGGTCGACAAAATCGGCGATCACCCGCTTTGAAAGAAATATTGTCCTTATTGGAGAAATTTTGCGTTAGTGCAACAATAAGTTACATTCATATTACTAATCAAATCGCCACCATTGAATCAATAAATAACTAGTTGCAGCAACGATATAATTTGCTTAATTGACTAAATGTTTGATTGAATAAATTTTGTTTGTTCAAGAGCAAAAAGGCTTATTAATTCAATCACTTCTTTTTCTCAGTGTTTGAAAGAGTTACAAACAATCATAAATCAATATTGTTTACTATTTTGGTAACAAATCATTTTTGATAGCAAATTATCATCATTTTTAGCAACAAACTTTCTTTAATTATACATTAATAAAGAAAGCCATGAATATCATAATGATAATAAAGAAACGAACGTATGATTGATTCGATTTTATATATTGCAGACTATTCTTCAAAACCCTTGCTGCTTAAATAAAAGCTTAATATACAAAGTTTACAAAGCGGTGCTAGGAAATGGGCTTGTTACTGCTCCTGGTGAGATCTCGCAAAAAAAGACTAGTTTGTAATATTTATAATATGCAAAAGATAGTCATCGCACTTTTACACGACATGCAATTTATGACATTATTTATTTTATCAATAATAATACAGGAGTATATATATGTTACGCTCACATTGAGCAACAGCATAAGCTTTATTAATTAATAATATTCACCTTTCTTAGTATTTGTCTTGGTAACGCCTTAATAGTTTCTACGTAGATACGTTTGTATCATTGTTTATCAGAGAACTTATTTTTACTTCCTTATTTATTATTCCAAGTTCTAATTCATCCGAATATGCTGAAGTGGAATCTTGGAAAAAGTAATAACGATTTCTTTACGAGTACGAAGCATATCTTGTGTGTGGTGTATTTGTGTGCAGAGCAAATAATAGCAAATAAATCAATGTAACACTACATACACACGCGCGCACACAGCATACACAGCATTCACAGCATATACTCACACGAATGCAGACACGTGGTAATTATCGACTAGAACGGAGCACACTCCAATGACCTCTATCTTGATATGTATTATCAAGGAAATCATATTCTAAGCAACATTCAAGAAGTTTTAACCGTCGTTCGTTGTTTGTTAAAAAATTATTAACATAAGAAATTCCACAAATGGAATGTAATATTCCGACACTGTGTACATATTTAAGGAAACGAAATATATAAAAGTGCATACGCACGCACACACATACTGTTCGCCAGCAAGCGCGCTCGCTGGCGAGCAGTGTATGTGTGTGTGTGTGTGTGTGGGTGTGTGTGTGTGTGTGTGTATCTGCGTGTGTGTATGGCTATGTGTGTTTGTGTAGTAGACATCTTCTTAGCTTACAAATTCAATGTTTTTGTATGTACAGTGTCCAAAAATTACATTCATTTTATGCAAATTTTTTTGCTAATAATTTTTTAACAAACAATGAACGACGGTTAAAACTTTTGATTATCATTCAGGACAGTATCCTTGATAATATATATCAAGCTGGAGATCATTGAAGTTTGCTCCGTTATAGTCGATAATTACCATATACAGGGTGTCTCACGCTCTCCTCCGGGCACTTTGTAGAGACGTAAAACAGGTTGAGGTGAACATAAAAGTCCTATACCGTTTTGCGATATTCGCAATAATTATCGAGATATTAATTATAGAAAACTTGTAAATGATCAAGCAGAATATGGTAAATGAGTTATAGTAACGACGACTGCCGTCGTGTACTTATACTTTAGGTCAAATTGAACAAAAAAGTTCTCTACCATTTTCCAAATAATCACATAGATTTCTAATTATTAATTAAAGAAGATGAGTGCATTATCACACAAAATCGTGCAATAATCTCCTTTAATTAATGGTTAAAAATCTATGTGATTATTTGGAAAATGGTAGAGAACTTTTTTGTTCAATTTGACCTAAAGTATAAGTACACGACGGCAGTCGTCGTTACTATAACTCATTTACCATATTCTGCTTGATCATTTACAAGTTTTCTATAATTAATATCTCGATAATTATTGTGAATATCGCAAAACGGTATAGGACTTTTATGTTCACCTCAACCTGTTCTACGTCTCCACAAAATGCCCGGAGGAGAGTGTGAGACACCCTGTATATATATATACTATCTTTCTTATTTCTTTTTAATATCAATATTCCGCAGAACATATATGGGTCAGGCACCGAAAAATGTTAGCGCCAAGCTTTAATACGAATATATTACGAACATTCTGCGATATATTTGTGAATCGATCTTTGGTATTTACGGAGGAATTAGAACACATGGTAAATGGCGAAGTAGATCTATCTCAGCATATATTAAAGTGTACTTTGGACAGCATTTCCGGTAAGATGAAATACTCATTAGATTTTGGTTTATTTGGAAATTACCTGCTTGTGTCATAACCTTTAATTACTTATATAAATATATAAACTATCATGCAAGAGAGAGAGAGAGAGAAATAATAAATGTTAAAAGTATATTTTATTATATTTTAATTATATGTTATATTAAAAATGATTAACTTCACTTTTTGGTACGAAACCTTGAAGGCACTTCATTGGGTACCGAGTTGCAATTAAAGAAAATTGAGCAGTATCTTAATGCAATAGTAAGGTATGATTCTTTTCGGACCATAAATTCTTGCGTGTATTCGAAAGTAAATCTAATTTAATTCAATGTTTAATTGTAGGGTGAAACAAATAATAACATACAGACTACGAAATATATTTTTACTTTCCGATTTTATATTTAACCTTACATCTCTAAGTCGCGAACAACAGAAGAATTTAAATTTTATATATTCAGTTACGGAAGAGGTAAATATTGCAAATATATTTCCTGACGATGTTATACAATTTACACGCTACATGATCTGTTACTATGCAGGTAATACAACAAAACGCGATGGATAATTTAGTTGGGAATAAAATCCAATCCGCTAAGCCTTGTAAGTCGTCAACATCGCACAAAATTGCACGAAAAAATACTATATATTATATTTTAAAATATATAGACATACAAATGAATACATTTTTCCTTTTTTACTTTTCAACACAACTACATCCACTTAATGTGCAGATATATGGCAAATTTTTATTATTAAAAAGAAGAATAAATAACACGTGCAATATATACAATTCTCGTGATCAATTGACCAAATATACTTTAAAAAAATGTATTTTATTTATTTTTTGTTGAAATAAAAAATAGCAAGAAGGAGATTAGTTGATATACTAATGGAAACATCTGACGAAGGCAAGAAATTTACTCGGAATGAGATTATCGATGAAATCAATACGATAGTTGGTGCCGTACGTATTATGACGCCTTTTGAGACGAGTATTATCTGTAATGTATTAATAAAATCAAGCTTGAGTAGTAACTAGTTAAAAAGTTAAAAATTAAATTAAAAAGTTAAAAAATTAAATAGCTTTAACTTAACTTAGTTACATTTTTACACTCTTACCTTTTAACTTAACTTAGTTACATTTTATCGGTAACTATTAACTTTTAATTCAATTATCTTGAAGCTAACCATACCATAAAGGTGTCGCGAAACGTCGAAAGGCTGTTCAGTGCAAAAGGGGTCATTTTCGACAATCTTCGAAGAAAAATGTCCAATAAAAATTTTGAAAGAACTTTCCCAGTAAGCAAGAAATCATTAATACAACGTTACTACAATGATATTCAAGAATTTATAATATTGTCAAATATTGTCAAATATGTAGAGTTTAATATTGTATGGAACATGAACATTGAATCATTATAAACATATTTTGACCGCAATTTGGAAATTTCAATAATATGTTGAAATAGAGTTGCCATAACGTTTTAATCGTCAGAAATATTTTTAAGATGTTGCATTGATCTCAAATAAATGTTAAAGTAACATTTGAAAAATATATTTTTTGTAATACTTTTGAAACGTTTAAACAATATTCTGGAAAATCATATTACAAAATAACATGTGAAAAATATAAATGCAATGTTATTAAAAAATGTCCAAACAATGCACACAAAGTCAACGTTTCTAAACATTAATTTAATGTTCCTTGCTTACTGAATTATTACTTAAATTTAATAAGTATCTGTAAATAAGACATGTTTCCAAATAAGATGTATATTTGTTTTTTTCGTTATTTGTAAAACTGGAACCCTGAAATCATAAAATGAAACAAATTTAACTTTTAACTTTTTAATTACTTTTTTTTATTAACTTAACTTTTAATTCAATTAATTTCATTATGGGTTAATTTTATCTTAACTAAGTTAAATTTTCAAAGCCATTAACTTTACCTTAACTTAGTTTAAAAAAAAGTTAACTTATCCAACCCTGATAAAATTATAGAACTAATAAACTAAGTTTCCGTTTCGTACGCAGGGTACCGATACAACCGCAATCGCATTAAATTTTATAATATTCATGTTAGCAAATTTCCCAGAAATACAAGTACGTATTAAACGAATTGAATTATTTTCAGCATAATTTAATATTTTGTGATATAGAAACGTCAATATACAAGAAAAGTTAACTAAAATACATTTATCATTCCTGCAATATGTAGCTTCTTAGTCTAGATCTTATATTTTTCACATTTCTATGATATGGTACAAAAGTTATTTGGGACGATAATTTATATTTAATGTTTTGTGTATGAAACAAATAAATACATCATTTCGCAATAGCAAAAAGTATACGAGGAGTTGCTCGAAATTTATGATACGCAAGATCCAAAATCCGTGCCCGTCGATTTCAAGGATTTGCAACATATGAATTATTTGGAATGTATTATTAAGGAAACATTGAGACTTTTCCCCCCAGTACCTCTCATAGGACGTCAACTTAATGAAGATTTACAAATAGGTTTGCTTATAAACGTAAATATATAGGGGTGTAATATGTAAGAATTGTATAGTGAGTAATAGTTTTCCTTTCGTTATGAACATTTTATTGTACTAAACAATAAAATATGATTTTATTTAAATTATTATTCATTTGATGTTTTATTATAATGATATTTTATTCACCAATAAATATGTTTCAGGAGGATATACTTTACCGAAAGGCGCTGATATTTTAATAACAATATTAACCTTGCATCGTAATGAAAAGTATTGGCCGAAAGCGTTGACATTCGATCCAGACAGATTTCTTCCGGAGAACATGACAAATATTCATCCATATAGTTATATAACATTTAGTAATGGTCCAAGGAACTGTATTGGTAAATATACATAAGCTGAACTATACTGTTGCAAAATATGAGATTAATCGATAAAATTATAGGTGCGAAGTACGCAATGATTTCTATGAAAATCCTCATAGCAACCCTGTTGCGGACATATATATTAAAAGTCGATAAGGAGGTTAAAATAGAACAGATAAAATTGATGGCGAATTTTTTGTTAGCGCCTGTCATCCCTTTAAAAGTCAGGATTGAAAAGAGAAAGTGAGAACATAACAATACAATAATATATTATTAATATGCTAACGGAGGAAATGGTATTTATTATTACTATAATTGGTTGATAACATTTATAGTCACTTAATAACTTTTAACTTAATTGGTATATTTTATATAGAATACTATAATATTTGTGAACTCAGTTAGATTAACATAAGTAGCGTGAGAGTAAATTAACGTAAATAAGTTATTTTTGTTTTTTAAATTTTCGTTACGGCGGTTTGTAATTTTATATATAAATTAATATACATTAATTGTTTTAATAAGAAGAAAAGACGGCGGTAGAAAAAACTAAGAGTGTATCGTACCGCTTTCTTGGAATCTGTCATGAATAAAACATTGAAAATCTGTTGTAAATAACAGTGTATCACTAGTAATGATAAAGGAAACATAAAGTTTTCTATTAAAGAAAATTATCTTTGCACTTGGAACTCGTCGTACGATTTCAATTGGACTTTGTCATCTTTGATAAACTGATTTGATCGATATGACATTAAAGATCGATATGCCTTTACATAGGAGCGTCGAGCATCGAGCGTCAAGTATTGAGTACATGCATATTAATATACAGTGAGTTGTTACTGAAACACAAAATTAATTTAATTGCATTCTGAACTGTCAGTTGAATTTCGAGGTATTTATTAGCAATTCAGAAAAAATTGCAAGATATTACAAAATGTCTATTAATTATCGACATTATCAGTAACCCCAAGTAGCACAGCACCTCAGAAAACATTCAGAAAGGCTTTTGCAGATGTCTTACTTTTATAAAAGCGCTATATAAGCGTTTCGCAACTGCTTTGTGCTATATGGGACGAATATTACAAACAAAACGTGGAGTTAATTGCATTAATATCACTAATTGCAAATGCAATATGAGCAAAACAAAAAAAAATGTTTTGGGTGTTACAAATATTCGCAAAAAGAGACACGGATTCTATTATGCAACATTGCCCTAATAGCATCAAGACGCTGAAATCTGAACGGTTTAGATTTATGCGTAAAAGTTCTGCGCACAGGTTTGACACTCAACGCTCGAACGCTTGCATGTAATGACACCTTGACAGTTTCAGTTGCGTCATAATGACTTGCAGATAGGGATAGTAAAAACATTATTACGTAACTACATTATTATTGTAATGTATGCAAAATAATATTTTTTTGTGAACGCGTTATTTGCATCGAAGCCTGCAGCTCCTTGAAGTCTATCTCTCCACTCCATCAGTGTTGCTTAGCAATTACTAGAAGTATTCTACGTAGTATCGAAAGTGATCTTATGCTTCTTGCTTCGAGGGAACATATATAACGATACATTGGGCTCTCCAATTTCATTTTGAAAGAATGTGAAGAGAGCAATTCTGTGTATTGATTCTGAAGTATTGATTATGATCTAAGTGCATTGAGAACTGTGTTTTATACTTATAATCACATAAGTGATTAACCACACAATACAATGTATAAAATCGGGATATAAGACTTCTTTAAAACGCTTTTAAGACATTTTATGTTCCGATTTGTGTTGTGTGGATATATTTGGGAAAATCTTTGCTCCTGATAAGATCTCACAAAAAAAGGTTTGTTTGTAATGTTTATAACATGCAAAAGATAGTCATCGTGCTTTTACACGATATGGGTTGGATACAATTCATGACATTATTTATTGTATCAGTAATAATATAGGAGAATATGTATGTTATACTCACATTGAGCAACAGAATAAGTTTTATTAATTAAAAATATTCGCCTTTCTTAGTATCTATCGTAGTAATACCTTGTAGTTTCTACGTAAATACGTTCGAATCATTGTTTATTAGTGAATTTACTTTGACTTCCTTATTTATTATTCCATGTTCTAATTTATCCGAATATGTTAAAATGGAATTTTGGAAGAAGTAATAATCACTTCTCTACGAGTACATCCCGTGTGTAGTGAATTTGCATGCGAAACAAATAATAGCGGTCGATGTAGTATTACACACACACGTACACATAAGCGCGTAAATGACACGATACATTTTGCATGCAACATGAATTTAAGAAGATTTCAGAATACGTTATTCACAGACGGGCAATATTTTGATAAATTACTATCAAATTTATAATATTGTATTTAGCAAAGAAGTTCGTTTATACACTTTCTTTCTTATTTCTTTTTAATATCAATATTCCGCAGAACATATGGAACGATGGGTCAAACATCGAGAAATGTTAGCGCCAAACTTTAATACAAACATAATACGAACATTCTGCAATATATTTATGAAACGATCTTTGATATTTACGGAGGAATTAGATGGTAAATGGCGAATAGATCTATCTCAGCATATATTAAAGTGTACTTTGGACAGCATTTGTGGTAAGATAAAATGCTTATTAGATTTTGACTTGTTTGGAAATTACCTTTTATATCCTAAACTATTAAGTACGAATGTATAAACTATCGTTCAAAATAATAAATGATATGTATGTTGAAACATATTTTAATTATATATTATATTAAAAATGACAAATCTGACTTTTTCATACGAAACTTTGAAAGACACTTCATTGGATACCGAGTTGGGATCGCAATTAAAGAAAACTGAACAATATCTTAATGCACTAATAAGATATGATTCTCTTCAGAACATAAATTCTTGTAATTATTGTACGCTATATTCAACGATAGATTTAATTTAATGCAATGTTTATTTGTAGGCTGAAAGAGATAGTCACACAGATTACGAAATATATTTTTATTTCCGGATTTTATATTCAGTTTTACATTTTTAAGTCGCGAACAGCAGAACCATTTAAAGTTTACATGTTCGTTTGCGGAAAAGGTAAGTATTGCAAATATATTTCCTGATAATGTTACACAATTTGCACACTACATAATCTATTACTGTGCAGATAATACAACAAAAGGAAAACGAGGTGGATAATTTAATTGGGAATAAAATCCAATCCGCCAAGCTTTGTAAGTTGTCAACACCTCATTTATAGTACATATTTTTACATGATGTATTTATGCAGCCAATATTACAATGTGTGAAAATTGTACGAAAACAGTGTATGTTATATTTTAAAACAATTGGCCATACAAAAGAATACTTTCACCTTTTTTTAATTTTCAATACGTTATTTAAATAGATACAATTACATCTATTAAATGTGCATACAGATATGTCGTAAATTTTTATTATTAAAAAAATGAATAAATAAATGCACGTGCAACACATCCAATTCTTGTGAGCAATTGACCAAATATCTTTTTTAGAAATGTATTTTATTTACTTTTTGTTAAAATAAAAAAATAACAAGAAGGAGATTTGTTGATATGCTAATGGAAGCATCTGACGAAGGCAAGAAATTCACTCGGAAAGAGATTAAATCAATACGATGAAATCAATACGATAATTGTTGCCGTACGTATTATGACGCCTTTTGAGACAAATTGTCTGTAATGTATTAATAAAATTATAGGATTGATAGATCAAATTTCCATTTCATACGCAGGGTACCGACACAACCGCAATCGCATTGAATTTTATGATGTTCACGTTAGCAAATTACCCAGAAATACAAGTACGTATTAGTACAAATACAAGTACGTATTGAATTATTTCATGCATAATTTGGTATTTTGCATAATTTGATATTTTAAAGACGTCAATATGCAAGGAAAGTTAACTAAAATACATTTCTTTAATATGTAGCTTCTTAGTCTTAGTTCTTTTTCACATTTATATGATATACTACAAAAATTATTTAGGATGATAATTTATATTTAATGTTCTGTGTATGAAATAAATAAATACATAATTTTGCAATAGCAAAAAGTATACGAGGAGTTGCTGGAAATTTATGGTACGCAAGATCCAAAATCCGTATGAAGTAGGAAGTAAAAATAAGAAATTGACCAATCATAGTTGATTATTCTTCTCACATTCGACTGTGGTTGGTCAATTTCTTACTCTTACTTCCTACTTCTTGCTATTTACTTCCAATGTAGACGTCCCTTTAGCGTGTTCGACTGTCCCTGGATTAATCGCTCCAGGAGCGATTAATGACGTCATAAGTCTCTACTAGCTAATCATAAAGCTTATAAGTACTTGTTCGACCAATAAACGTAGGCTGAATAACCCAGAGTGGGTTAATTCAGAGCCAGTCGATGCTGGGTGTTACACAAAACCAGTTTATTGGTTGCATATTATCTTACAAGATATTTTAGTATAATATGTAATATGTAATCAATAAACTGGTTGTGTACGTGTGTGTCAGATGTATTAAGCAATTGGAAAGCACCCAGAGAATATTCGATTGTGCGCTGTTGTGCGCATTTCGAACAGTAATCTATCGAGCAATTGAAACGCCCAATCAAAGAAGCGAGTAGTTACTTGGACCAATAACCTTGGGCCTTTAGGACTTTCGTCCTTATCCAATATTGAGAAGAAGAAGGTACTTATTTGGTTAGGTCTCCATAATACAACACTCTTGGGCGTTCGCGAGGTTAGGTTTAACGCGTCTCCGTATATATCTCCGGAATTATTGCTGAAAGTGTAGACGGTGTGCTTGCAGAATTATAAAAAGTAGAATTATAAAAAAAGTAGGCGATTACGAAGAATTGGGACTTTCTGTTTTCTTCATGATTATCGTATTTGTTTTTCGTTGAGATATCCTTTGTCGTTAAAATATTATTATTTTCAGGTAAACATGGTAGAGGAAATTCAAAAAAAACTTCAAAATGAAGTTGACAAATTAAGGCAAGTCCAAAAAGGTCAGGAAATATTTATTTAAGTCTTGTGTAGATTATTTCGTTTTAAAATTTTATATGTAACTTACTAATTGCATTTTCAGACTACAGCAAGGCAGTAAACAAGAGGCAACAATTAGATGGGCAACTAAACGAGAACATCGCGGTTAAGAAAGAATTGGATCTTCTGAAACAGGACAATGATGTGTTCAAATTAATTGGACCAGTGCTTGTGAAGCAAGACTTAGACGAAGCTAAACAAAATGTTATCAAGCGTATGGACTATATTGCGGCTGAATTGTAAGTTTGTCCATTACAATTACTGTAAAGTTTTGATCTTAAGATAAATATCCAAATGAATGAAACATTAATAATATATTTGTATTTAATGTTTTTAAAAAAGTCTTGGAAACTTTGTTAAAAAACATTTTTTATGCCAATTTTTAATATTATTTAATGAGCAATCATTGAGTCAATATTATTCAATAATTAGAACATGATTTTTCAGTTTAATTATTGGTACAACCAGCATTATTTAATATCTGATAAAAATTATAATTGATGTTTATTGATTATTTAATCTTCCATTGTTTTTTGATCCCTAATAAAGTTTTATATAAATGTTAATTTTAACGTTAATAATTCTATTAAACGTTAATAATTCTATTAAAAAAAAATTATAAAACTGATCATACTTATTAGTTTAGTCACTAAAACATTGAACTTACATGTTTATTTCAGGAAACGTATGGAGGATCTGATTGCTACCTTGGATAAGAAAATGGATACTCACAGAGAGGCACTCGAGAAGATACAGCAAACATTTCAGCAAGCTCAGATGAAAGCGTCGCTCTCCCAACAGAAAGCATAACATCACAGTCACAATAGCTTTGTGAGATTATATTCAATCGTATAATTAACATTTAAATATCAACACTTGTTGAAGTGTAATTAACGTTTAATGTTTAAGGTCAACAACGTCCCTCGCTGTATGAGCAATGTAAACTTTCTGTTTTATTTATTTATACTACGCAACGTTTATTAATAATGAGTCACCCAGCTATATGTATCACAATAACTCAAACACAATCTGTTGAAATTGAAAATTATGTGAGAATATGTTTCAGAGAATATGTTTTCTTCTCAATTCTTTTGTATCAATAAATGCATTAGCAGTTATTTTATGATAAATGTCTTTTGATAATCATTAATTTCCTATTCATAGAATTTATAAGTACTGTTGGCTTAATAGTACTCATAATTGTTGTCAACTCAAGATTTAAGTTTGTATTAATAATAATAACACATTAGTACAGGAAGAAAGATTAATATTATAGAGTATGCGAAAAGAAAAAGAAAACCATCGACTAAGAATCTAACTCTGAATTCATCTAAGTATTTCAGTTAAGACGAGTTTCAAGTAATAACTATTAATACAATCCTATAAAGCTTCTATTGGGTCTACTCATACTACAATCACTCAGTGAGCTCTTGGATCTGGTATACTTTTAGATTTCACCAAAATTTAAATACAAATCAATTACAATTAGCAGTTGTAGTACTGGATACATTTATAATAGTCATTATTTGAAATTTGTTCCTCATGAGATGCTCAAATTTGAATTTAGACTTGAGTTTTCTATTTGAATCATAACTTAAATAGCACTTAAGCTTCTAAAAAATATCTTAAAGAGTGTCCTATTTCTTTTATATATTTTTAAGATGTCTTTCAAAAGTTTATGCTGTTTGTTTATATATGCAATCTTATATTTATAATTATAACTCAGTTGAAAAACTCTTATCTGTGACTAAATTCAAATTTGAATATTTCACTTAAAGCAATTTTCAATAACAATTAAGCCTTAATTTAATTAAAATGTAATATAAAACAAATCAGTAATGTAATATATTGTGTTATGTACTAATGTTAAATTTAAAATCGTCCTTCAAATAGCGCCAATATTATATCGATATTTTTAATATCAGGATTTTCAGGATAAATTAAAAAATGTCTTATAACCCATTGTCGAGTTATATCTTTGATACAATACAGAAAAAATTATTAGCTAGATGCTGTTTATAGCCATCACTACCTCGGTTCCTCGTTAAAGAAAGTGGCGGCTCGTAGCGGACACTTTGGAACTACAAAATCTGTAGTTCCAAAGTGTCCGCTACGAGCCGCCACTTTCTTTAACGAGGGACCGAGGTAGTGATGGCTATAAACAGCATCTAGCTAATAATGTTTTATGTATTGTATTAAGACAATTCAGCAATAGGTAATACGTTTTTAACCTATCCTGAAAATATATAGACTACGTATAACAAAGATAAAATAAAGCCAGCGACACACGGTGCTTGTTTTCGTGCTAGATTGCTTGCTGGATATAAATACTCTGTTTTGATTGTTACATTTCCATTCATCTTTAGGAATTGTTAAATAAATATTAATCTTCCTTGTTGTTTATTTTGATTTAAACAGTCCCGTTCAATAAACAACGCATTTTTCAAAATAAAAAAATGTTGCTAACACTGAAACCAGATCACAAGAAGCATATATTGTTTCTAGCAGAACAATCACCGCCAGGTACAGGCAAATCATTTGTCAATGTTTAAACTTATATTTCACTACGAGAAAGTCGTAAGAAATAATCGTAATCATGATTTTCGCAGTTCTACAAGATTTTTGCAAATTGGCCTTGGATTATCTGCAAAAGGGCCCAAATGTTAAAGTGTACAATGCTGCTGCTCGTGAGTAGTTGATTGTTGATACTTTAAAAATGTGACACAGACAACAATCTCAACATATCATACACTAAAGTTATTAGAATTTTCTAAACGTACACAATATACATTTGTTATTAGTGATAGCTTTACGTTCATATCCAAAAATAAATTTGTATGTAAATAGAAAATATTAATAACTTTATTAGATGCTTTCTAATCTCTCTATTATTAATAAAAGTGCCTTTCAATGTTCTTATCAGCTGATCAGAAAGTTTATAAGCCATATTTAAAGACAATGTTATCAAGAATTTACAATGAGGGCTTTAATGTCAAGAGGTTGCTAAATACTAACATAATATAGTTTTGTAGTTTGCACTGTTTTTCTATTTAGTTTCATACAATTGTAAATACTTTTATATAGTGAAGGTACAAATGTCAAAGCATAAAAAATACTAACTATTGTATGAAAAACAAAAAAGAATTTCTTGTAAATGAAAAATAGTATGTTATACGATTTATAATCGTATAACATACTATAGAATAAAAGTATAAGATTTATAGAATGAAAGTATAAATACCAATCCATGATAAAGCACCAAATATTATATAAAAAAATTTTGTAAATAAATTGTTTTGTTTGCAAATTTTTTTATTCAGTATTTGGTACTTTTTCATATATTGACAGCATTTAAAATTCTCTGCAATAATAAAAACAGTACAAACTACAAAACTCTACTAGTTGTGTACATTTGTATATCTGATTATATCTAAGACTTAATAACTTCATAATTAACTCTATTACTTAATATTCTATTGTTTTGTGCTTATTGCAGAGAAACTAAATGTTGAGTTTGATGTAATTAAAAATTCAGTTGAGGGTTTGGTTAATCTCTTGCTGGAAGCAAGCAAGCATAAGGTAAGATCTACAACAATAAATAAAAATCTCTGGGTAAATAGCTAAATGTTATATTATTAATATTATTAATATTATTGTATAAATATTGTTATATTTGTATTTTATAGTTGAACACAGAAGACTTTCGGGATTCTATGATTGCTTTAGGTTTCACAGAAGTGAAAGAAGCAATACTAAGCAAGTTGTACAGTGTTAAAAAAGAAGAGGTTACAGATGCACTTGAAGAAATTGGATTTAAACGACTCAAGTATCACGACATGGAATGGAGACATGAAGTTCAGGTAATATAATCTTCATCTTTCTCTTTGGTCTCTTTGAATGTATTGATGCATAATTGAATTATGTTATCTGTATTATAGATTGCATCAAGGTGCTGTCTGAAACAAGTTGTGCCACTCGTCACTCTAGATTTGTCGTTAAAAAACCCCGACAATTCGGATAATATAGAGCATGTTTTGCTACAAACGGATCTTACCAACTTACTTCACATGACTCAACAGTTGGAAGAGGCTCTACAGGAGAGCCGTAGCCAACACATCCGCAGTATATCCAGAGCAATAAAATGAGCTGGCTTTCTGTGATTTTGTGTCAATTACGTTTAATGTATTAATTAATATATTAATAAATATGAATTCAAGATTAAGTAAAAAAATGTTGATTTATGTGATAAGTATAACTCAACAATTTTCTCAAATCACATCTGTCATTGACATCTATAAAGTTTCACTCTGCTCAGCTTATCCCAAATAATAACTGACAGTAATCGTACATGCGTCACACTCGCATAAGTGTATTCTGTATGTGTGTATATATTTCTATGTATTGTACTAAGCATTTCTCAGTCTTGCAGTTGGACCCTCATTTGAATATATAATTAGATAATTGGATCTTCTTCCACAGGGGAAGTATATAAGAGAAGATCTGTGATCTTTTTACACTCGTACTTGTTTGGGTGTGACAGTACCATTACAGGCTATTCCTATTATAGAGTATTGATGTTTTACAAATTGGAGTTTTTAATTGCCTTAAATTCAGGACTAGTAGCAATTATATCACGAGACACTACAGTGTTAAGAAGTATGTATACAACGTATCCAACATTTATTTTTACATTTTAAGCTATTTTATACGTCCTCTCTCTTCTATAAATTTGTCGAAATATTCTTATTTATCTTGTACAAATTCTATTATCTTATAAATTACTTATCTTATAAATTTTACAGAATATTCAGTATCTGAAGCAAAAGAATCATCTTTTGACGATTTTTTCAGAAAATGGAATCCCTCATTACATTAAGTGCCCAAAATCTGACTTCAACCATCTTAACCGGACAATCCACAATGGCACTTGCTTCTGACATACTGACTACAAAAGGGCCCTATACTATGCGACATATTATGAGTTTCAATAATCATACTGTGGCGGATAAAGTACCTCCGGACATGCTGCATTTGATTGACCCGCATTGGTTATTATTAATTTCTACGTGTTGATGTCTCCTAATTTTTTTTGTACGATTAATAAGTGCTATGTCAAGTAATATATATTCTGATGCAGGCTATCAGATACAAGCTTATTGAGATCTTTATGGATTACAGGTATCAGTTTCCACCACTGGATCCAATGTGGCATAAAATCTTAGGCCTCGTGATGGTCGTGCTGGGAATTATGGGTTGGTGCGGCAACGGCGTTGTAGTATACGTATTCCTGTTGACACCTTCGCTAAGAACGCCGAGCAATCTTTTGGTGGTAAATCTAGCTTTCTCGGACTTCATCATGATGATCATTATGTCTCCTCCTATGGTGATCAACTGCTACTATGAGACCTGGGTATTAGGTAATACAAATTTTCAATTTATATCATTGCAAGACTTTCAAGATTGAATATCTATTATTTAATAAAAGAACCAAGTCCAATTCTTTGCTTTTCAATCGTAGAAATCTTAGCATTTATGAACAAATTGTAATGTGTATTATACTTCGACATATATATAATATTAATTATATAACTAGAGTATTTTAGTTATTAAAGGCCAATGATTAATTTTTAGATTTTGAAAAGTTTCAGATTTTTTTTAAATATCCAAAAGTTCTTCTTAAAACTTGCGATATTCTTTTAGAAAGTGGTTTTATTTGTAGTCTTAAAAAATCGCGATCGTTCTAATAAATCAGTTTTATGTTAAGGAACTCTGATGTGCGATATATATGCAATGATTGGCTCTCTATGCGGGTGCGCCTCGATATGGACCATGACTGCTATCGCTTTGGATCGATATAATGTTATAGTAAAGGTATGTATAATATACTTTCATGGTATTTCCCTCGATAAACAGAGACTAAAACTAACGAATAGATAACGAATAGATAAACAGAGACAGAAACTAACGAATATATTTGCAGGGTATGGCGGGAAAGCCACTCACCATTTCGAAAGCATTGCTCGAAATTTTGGTAATCTGGATGTTCGCTTTAGTATGGACGATTCTACCAATGGTGGGATGGAACAGGTAATGTTATAATCTTGCAAAGAGGATGTATTCTGTGTTATAATTGTAAATATACGTATGATAAATTTTGATAATTAGATAATAAAAAATTAGGAATTTAGATATTTTGTGATAAATAATAAATTTTGTGACATTTTTTTATTATATGTATGTTGTATTGTTTGTATTATAGGTATGTGCCAGAAGGCAACATGACCGCCTGTGGTACGGATTATCTGACCAAAGATTGGAGTTCCAAATCCTACATCTTGGTGTACTCGATATTTGTGTATTATACGCCGCTCTTTACTATAATCTATAGCTATTATTTCATCGTTTCGGTAAGTGGATACAAATTACACGCTACAGTGTTCTTTTAAAAAATCGATACTCTTAACTGTATATAATATTTAACTGTAATAATATTTTCAAAATTGGCAGACGGTAGCTGCTCATGAGAAGGCAATGAGAGAACAGGCGAAGAAAATGAATGTCGCGTCTTTACGATCTGGAGATAATCAAAATATAAGCGCGGAAGCAAAGCTGGCAAAGGTGAGAACAAAGAATATTCGCTAAGATTATGCAATTACATTCACAACTATATTGTTAATTACTTCGTGAAGTAATCGCGACGTTATCCGTCAATTATAGGTAGCTCTAATGACTATTTCATTGTGGTTCATGGCGTGGACGCCGTACCTGGTTATCAATTATACCGGCATATTCGGTGGTGCTAATTTGAGTCCTCTCTCTACCATCTGGGGATCTCTCTTCGCGAAGGCGAACGCCATATATAACCCCATCGTTTACGGGATTAGGTGAGTCGTTAACGTAATTTAATTGTATTGGTAAGTAAACATAGATAATATTAAAATACCACTATATTATATTATTATGTGCTAATAGATACTAATAAATATATAATAACTAATAGATAATATTATTTTACTTTTACAATCTGGAAAATCTTGTCATAGTAATGCAAAGCCTCATATTTAGTAGAGGCGCCTCATATTTATAAACATTCTTTGACATATATGAAAAAATTTTAATTCAAAGACTGTAACAGTTATTTAAAAAATCGCTCAAACTGTAAGAGTTAATAATATTTAATATTTAATGAATAATATATAATTAATGTGTAATAATTATATATAATACGTTTCATTTTACACAGTCATCCAAAGTACAGAGCAGCATTGAAAGAGAAGCTACCGTTCTTTGTGTGCGGCTCGACCGAAGAACTGGCACCTGCGAAAGTCGCAGAAACAACATCCAATACGACGCAAGCGTAATGCCTCGCAACGAATCGTAAATCCAAGCATTGTGTGATATAACATAAAATGCACGCACTCCTATGCGCTTCGCGTATACACGAGAAGTCAGTAAATGAGTGGTACCGAGTATATTTTTTTTATTCGATGAAATGTGTAAATTTAATCTCCAAGAAACGTGTGTAAAAATCTATAATTTGTAAAGCTTCAACAGCTATTACGGATGGCCGATTATGCAAAAAGCTACGTACACGGGATTTCGAGTGAACCATGTGTTTTCAAACATATATACGAGAAATTTGTATTTTCGTTTTTCAATTTTTGTCTTTCGTTCTTCCCTTTTACGGTTTTCGTTTTTTCCTTTTAAGGTGTTAAGTATCACCTTCGCAAAAGGTGAGCAATACGAGTCACGTAGCGTTAATTGTATTGTACTGATAGTATGCAAAAAGAATATTAATGAATAAATCGCTTGGTGATATAATGATTCCGGGTTACTCTCTATATTTTATCAATTATGCAGATTAATAAATCTACTAATCTTGAAGATTATCACTAGATTAATGTATAAAGAATATATTTTTATTAATTCTGTGAATTAATAAAGATGTAATGACGCAATATTTTGAATGTCGTAGCGTCTCTCATCGTGTTATCGACATTCTCGTGTCGCATGATTTCAGCTAAACTAAAACTTCCAAGTGTGATTGCTTGCAGAATTTATTTGGTTTTATAAAATGTATTACAGACACGACTCTATCGCCGATGTCTCATGACAATACAATACGTATAGCAATGTCATAGATGTCCGATATCCGTTTATTCCATTTCTTGTTCCAAAATTATCATATATTACGTTGTAGCTCTCCGAAGAATAATACTCACAAATTGCGCTATGAAACATCTGTAAGAAATTCGCGTTGTGGTGCGGCGGAATCGTACGATGATTCATAGAGCCATTTAATAGTCGTTTAACAGCTGCATCGATATAACGAAATCTTTAGCCCTCGAGTTTTCTGATGTTGAATGCTTTTCGCATATCGGCTTGGCCCGTGAACGATCGCCCCGCTTGGATCACAGTCAATCGCGCGAATCGCGTTTCTTTTATTTTTATTTATTACGATATATAGTATCACGATCCAGCATGTTCTCTCGTTGGTTCTTCTCGCGCGAGATATTCATTGTCGTGTGTACTACTATTTACAGCTGCCGTGCTCGATGGCGCGATTCCTCTTTTGTGACGAGAATGTGATACTATTTCGTGGTGGCGTTGCGTCTATCTAACGAATCTGTTGTATCATCGAGAAATAGATGCATATAATATCGTTTTATGCGGCAGGTTTCTCGCCTTCCGTGACTGTGGTGGTCGTGGACGTTGCGTCCGCGCCGGGTGCCGGTTCACTAGCACACGCCAGAGACGGGAACCTCTGGAAGAGAGCGGCGCGGTACTTGGGATGGCTGAAATCACACGGAAAAAAGATCAGCGTCGTTCTTCGTGTACGAAATGAAAAGTGTTTGTAAATAACCATTGCTCAACTAATTTGTCCTCAAGTGCATTTTATATTTTATATGGAGAGAGAGAATTTTATTATATATATATATATATATATATATATATATATATATATATATATATATATATATATTCATTAATATTAAATCATTAATATTATAATTAATATTTTAATATTAATATTAATACTAGTATTATACACACACATGTATAATTAATTTAGAAAAATCAGTCGTTTCTAATATTTTTTTCTTTAAAATTTTTTGCTTCCTTTATGTTCTTAAATTGATAAGCAATTTTACTTCTCAAGATTCGTTAAAACCTACCTGATGCCATACACGATTGGATTATATACGGCATTGGCTTTCGCGAAGAGAGAACCCCAAATCGTGAAGAGCGGGCTGATTTTGGTCGTCTCAAAGATGCCCGCATAATTAATGACCAAATACGGAGTCCACGCCATGAACCACAGAGAGATAGTCATAAGAGCTACCTATAATTAGTAATGGTTTTATAGTAACTGCACATAGAAGAAAATTAATTTATATCATCTTATATTAAGAATATCTATGAGTAATTGAATACTTACAAGATTTTTCTTATCAGTTTCTATTAAATAATAAACCGAGAATATATATATTCTCAGTTTGTTATTTAGATAATTTAGTATTCAACTTATTATGTCATTGAGTAAAAAGTAAAAACTTGTCTATAGACTCTTAAATGTGTTTAATTTTGAAATATTTGATCACTTATGGGCATCTCTAATAATAATCATGTGTAAAAAAAGATTAATAGAAATTTTATCTCATTTTTATTGAGAAATATTATGTTAAATATGTACAGATGGAAGTTGCTGGATCAAGATCGCGAGGGTAACTTGCCTTCGCCAATTTGCATTCGGCGCTGGTGTTCTGATTCTCAGCCGATCGCAGAGAAGCGACGTTCATCTTCTTCGCTTGCTCGCGCATGTTCTTCTCGTGAGCGGCAACGGCCTGGATGATGAAGAAGTAGCTGTATATGATGAGGAACAATGGCATGAAGTAGACGAAGATGCTGTATATCAGGATGTATGATCTGGACAGCATATCCTTGTTCAGGTAATCGGTGCCGCAGGCGGTCATGTTGCCTTCAGGCACGTAGCTGAAATGCCGTAAAATTACTGTCTTATTATAATTCAAAGTGCAATTTAGCGATAAGTAACCTTCGATACTGGAGATCTATTCTGAACAAATATATTGAAAAAGAATGTTTTGCTGGTAGAATTCTAAACGTCATAATTAACATTTTTCGCTGTTTTTGTATCTGTTAGAAAATTGTTTGTGATAAGAACTTGTGACAGCAGCAGCATTCTGGCAATATCTGCAAGTAAAATTAGTTGGATGTGAGAATTATTCGTTTGTCTCTTTCCGCTAAACTTTTTCGTTTATCACAGTTACTTCTGTAAGAAATATGACTGGAAATATGAATGGAGAAACTTTTTTGCTAAATTTTACAAATAGTTTAGATATGAATTCTGTTATCTATATTGATTAAAATAAAACAAAATGCGATATCGCAATATTTGCTAATCATTTATTCATCTTAGTTAATTTCTCGTATCTAGATAACTTTTGCTATGACGGTATTATTTTGAACGTAGCGAATGTTAAGTATGCCTTTTTAATTCCAAGTTTCGTTTTCTTTATACGATCGTTACGTGTGACATTATCTTAGTGTTGTCTTGGAAGTCAGAAAGATATTAGCGTTCGACACATGTCCAGAATAGGACTCCTATTCTCTCTCTTTCTCTCTCCCTCTCTCTCTATTTCTCTCACTACTTCATATTCAGTGTCTCACCGGTTCCAGCCAAACAGCGGAGCTAACGTCCAGGCCAGCGCGAAGAACCAGAGGCCGAATATGCGAAGGAGGGCGCCGTTGATACTCATCGGCTTAGCGGCCAAGCCTTTGACGATTACGTTATATCTGTCGAATGCGATCATCGTCATCGTCCAAATGGAGCCACATCCGAACAGGGAGCCCGCCAAGCCGTACATTTCACAGAAGAAGGGTCCTAGTACCCACGTCTCGTAATAGCAATTGATCACCTGTGCACAGGACGAAAGGGTGTCAATTAAAAAGGATCGCACTTTCTATCACGGCACGTATCTATCTCGCTCTCTATCAGCGCAGCGCGGCGTACGCACCATAGCTGGAGACATGGCCACCATCATAAGGAAGTCGGAAATGGCGAGATTGACAACGAGCAGATTACTCGGGGTACGCAGGGTCTTGGTGGTGGTGAATATGTATATCACCATGCCATTACCGATGATGGATATTACGCCGAGGACGCCGATCACGAAGCCGAGCAGCGCGTGCCACAACGGATTCATCGGCGGGAACTGATACCAGTGAGAGTCAACCATGTGAAGCATCTCGGGTGGCACTTTGTCCACCACTGTTTGGTTGCCAAATCCGCCTCCTTGGGCCGCCCATGTATAGGCTGCATGGCTCGGGCCGTTTGCGACGGATAACATAGTCATCTGTGGGAATATTTTTTACGTTAATCTTGCAATGTGTCGACGTTTTTTGTTTGCTTTTTTGCTACTTATCATTCATGATTTTACTAGTCAATATTTGAGAGCATTTTAAGATGGAGAAAGAACATCATATGTTGATGCAAAAAGTTTGTTACTTTTCTATTAAATTCCTCTAGGAAGTTTGAATATCAAAGGAGAAATAGGAAATCCTCGTTAAATGTTCAAACAAAAGTCTGTGTTGTTTATGTTATATTCATGAAAATTATTAATCCTTTGAAATTAATTAATTTTGTTTTCTATTTTATTTGACCAACATGATCAACCTTTTGCACCAACCTAGATGTAAATGATTGCGACAAGAGGATGATAGATTCGCGTAAACGTGAAAATCGACACTACGTTTCTCACCTCCGTGCTACTTGGAGAAAATCGTCGTGGCGAACGAACTAATCCAAATACACCGTTCCGAATTGCTATTGCTGGCGTGGGTTCTCGCGATTCTTTCCGTGGAGCTTACAGGAGGAGTTCCCTGTTCGGTCCACTTTGTTGGATGCGGCTCGGGCTGGCCGCGATAGTGAGTACCGCTTAAATATGCATCGCGTTTTCGCCTTACGTCTTTACAGTGATATATACGGGAGCGTATAAGTCGCCAAACAGCCTTAAGAAGTCTTTTCTATTAAATTACGTCGGATTTGGGAACACCTTGGCGTACCTTGAGTGTCGCACACAGAAACCTTACGAGGGTACAATAATAATAGAACGCAAAGACGGATCGCTCGCGAAAGTTCACGTGGAAAACTTGATGGTACAACGATCAGTCGAGGTTGACAATTATATGCAATTATCGTCACAACTATATTTTAGCGAATTATCTAATTCTTATAGAATTATATAATTATTATAAAATTTCAAACACGCGCGCGCATACATATAGCTCACACACATAAGATAATACGTTTGTTGCTTTTTAGATTCAAAAATATCGACACGATTATATTTTAGCAAAATATATAATTATTATAACATATCTCAAGTATATATAGCTCACACACACATAAGATGACACGTTGCTTTTTAAATTCAAAACTTTGAACGTATTTTGATGAAGAGGTGGAGAAGTATTTTAACAAAACATGCAATGTGTATGTGTGTGTGTGTGTTGAGAGGGAGAATTATATAGAGAAATTTCAACGTGTATATATATATGTGTATACATACATACCATCACACACACACACACACATACACATATATATATATAATCATCATTTTAGAGTCTCAAGACTATATTAATTGTATTGGAGTTATGTAGAAGTGAAAATAATGCGTTCAGAAAAATTCATTTTATTTCAATAAACACCTAATAATTGTCATTAAATAAACATTTATGGATAATGAGAATTTATTCGACATAAGTAACATGGTTTAAATTCAAGTATAATCGACGATTACAAAATCGATATACTCGATCTTTCAAATCGATATGTGCGATTAGCGTTAGCCGCGAGTTTAAAATAATCACGTGACTGTCGGACTGTCCTGTAAAGTCGGACGCGACTCGAAACAGCTGTGGTCTGTTCTTTTCAGCTGCTGAACTGGTGCAATAAGTTAAAGTGAGACAAGTATATTTTTTCTCACTCTAACTTATTGCACCAGTGCAGCAGTGCAGCTGAAAAGTACAGATCATAGAACGGTTTGCTTCACGCACATTGTCAGTAGTTGTCATAAGCCTTCTCTGATGGGTCGACGGCAACATCGTGATGGTTAATATCGGCGATAAGTCATCTCGAGGAGTATCAACACATCTGGTACGTGTAATCTTTTACTAGAATATCTCGCTTCCTCTTGTTATTACTGATGCCGACACTCTCGATAGTCATGGAAGAGAGCCTCGAGGAGAGCCTGGTTGAAGAAACGGAGGACGATGCCACGGAGTTGACGGCGCAGGATGCGCTCCAGGCGATCGAGAACGCCTGGATGAACGAGAAATTCGCGCCGGAGATCCTGCCGCATCAGTCCAACCTCGTGGACTGCATGCTGCAGCAGATCGCGCACATGGAGAAGAACATTAAGAGGTTAGATCGCAGCGACCTGCGTGCGCTGGTACACCGTATGGAGGTCGACCGTATCAGATACGTGATCTCCAGCTACCTGCGCACCCGTCTGGAGAAGATCGAGCGCTACACCCTGCACATCCTGTCGGAGGAGGCCGATCGCAGCGAGGACGAGTGTTACTTGACGCCTAGCGAGCTGCGCTTCGCCAGGGAGTTCCTCGCCGGCATGGAGACGCTCTTCAAGACGGTGGCGTTGCAGCACATGCCGCCGAACTTCCAGCGTTTCGAGGTGAACAAATTCACCGTCAAGCCAAACATGCAAGCGCACGTGTTCCTGCGCGCGAACCAACGAGTCACCGGTATCGTTCTACCTGGTGCGCTGAACGAGGAGATAGACTTCGAGGCTGGCTCGCAGCACATTATTCAGTACGGCGTAGTCGCGCACTTAGTTAAGTCTGGTGTGGTTCAACTGATTTGATGTTTTTTCATAAAAAGTGATGCGAGTGTGAATGGGAAGGAAAAATGTGATCTTTTTTCTCCCTATGGAACAATATATTACTTTATTTGTATATATTACAAAATCTCAGTAATCATTGTTGAGAGAAGAATTTGACAGCCCTTGTCATGCAATATTTCTATAAAAACCAATACAAAATAGTAATTGTTAACTCTATTGAGAGCTTTTTGTTCTGAAGCTTTCCACGTCATCAACTTTGGCTGGATGTTTACTGTATAAAATATTACTCATAACATTGTAATAAAGACAGCTCCATTATAAACAGTAAACTAAAGTAACAAGTGCACTTTTTATTCTTGGTAGAAACATTCGCTAACTATACAAGTGTACAAGAGAGGTATAAGTTTAAGTAGCATGTTTCCAAGTAAGTACTAAAGATTTAAGATTGTTATATCACTTTGACATAAAAGGTGTAAAATAGTAATAAGTATAAAAACTTTCTAAATTGCTTAATTTAGATAAATCAAACTAAATAGTATAAATTCAAGGTATAGATTTGATTCTTAAAACTCAATGCTGTTCTAATGTTCACTGGAAGTCATGTGAAGCCATGCTGTTGTTCATAAGCCTGTAAAGATCAAACATATAGATATAAATATTTATATGAATTTTTATATAAATATTATATAAATATTACAAGGCTTATATGTGTATGATTTTACACATATACACAACATATAGGACGATAAGAAAAAGGATCAGAGATTCAGTCAATCAAACTGATATAGTGAAGATTGAATTATTGTTTACATAGATGACAATTCACACATAAGTTATGTTACATAGAGAATTATAATTTACGTGTGAATGCCCAATCCTGTTTATAACTGAACCAGTTATAAGAATATAGTATTAGTGAAGAATATTCTGAATTTCAGAGAGTGCAAATGTTGCCAAATGTAGCAATCGATTTACCTCTTGGGCATGTTGTCTGAGTTGCTCAGCCATGGATTTTCCAGTTTCCTGAACCAAACTGGTAAAGTGACCCTGATTATTCTGCAGCAAAATGTACGGATGATCGAATTCAATCGCTCGACCGTGATCCATTACCAGCACTTTATCGCTATCCATTATAGTGTTCAATCTATGTGCTATCGTTAATACCGTACAAGCCTTGAATTTCTTTCTGATCGTATTTTGTATCAAAGTGTCCGTCTTAGGGTCCACGTTTGCGGTAGCCTCGTCGAGTACGAGTATCTTGTTGTTCTGTAAAATTGCGCGAGCCAAGCAAACTAGTTGCCGTTGCCCGGCGCTAAAATTGCTGCCACCTTGTTGGACGCAATAATCCAACGAATTCATAGATTCTTTCAATTCCACCTCCTCAAGAACGGCCCACAGATCGGCGTCATTGAACTTGTTAAAAGGATCGAGATTCTCGCGTAACGTGGCGGAGAATAACACCGGTTCCTGCGGTATTATGGAGATTTTATTCCTCAAATCGTGTAGGCCGATTTTCTTCGTACTGACGTTGTCAATATAAATAGCACCATCGAGTTTTGCCATGTGGAACAGAGCAGAGATGAGAGACGATTTTCCGGCACCGGTTCGTCCCACTATTCCAATCTGAAGAATTTAAATAAACAAAAGTAAGATTTGCTTATTTAATTATTTGAGTCTCAGCGTACATCCTTAAGGACTTTTAAAAATTAAAAATATTACTCCTTGTCCACAATCTTATTTTAATCTTTAAGCCGTAATAAATTGACTAACCACAGTCGATTATTTTAAAAATAATCAACTATGGTTGGTCAATTTCTAGGGGTCAATTAAGGGGTTAGTTTTACTAATATTTTTTTTAGTAATAACTTGGTAATATTATTTTTTTCATTAGTTACAATAATGTAATTATATTTTTTGGGTGATAGTAATGAATAGAATTGTTACTTTGCAAAATATATGTATATAGAATGAACAAAAGTGAATTCTACAAAATCTTTAAAACTTAGGAAAAAGATCCCTTACTTCTTAAGTAACAACAATAACAAGTTATTTTTCAAAAATAACTCCCAATCCTTTGTAAAACAGATTTTACGTGGACATAAAAATTATTGCCATCATATATAAGAGTAACGAACATTTTTAGAACTATAGTTTATTTTGAAAAAAAAAACATCTAAATTTTTATCAATTTCCTAATTTTTTATATAAAATTTTCTAATTTTTCTACTGAAACCACTTTTCAAATCAAACTTTTAAAACAATATTTGTATCTAATATCCCTCTATTAAAATAACACTAAATATTAAAAATAAAAAATCAAGAGTCAGAGGATTAAATATTTTGTCTCGTTTACACCACGAGTGCGTTGCAAGTTAAACTCGCGTAATTACCTTCATGCCGGGTTCAATGATAAAACTAAGGGACTTGAGGATGGGCGGTTCCGACTCGGAATATCGAAGAACAACGCGATCGAATTTAATTTCTCCTTTGGACGGCCAATTACTGGACGGTTTGTCTGTAGGATTACTCTCGAACGGTCCCTCCTTCTCGAGTTCAGTAAACTGTAGTATTCTTTCTACGCTTGTCATCTGAGTAACTGTCTCGGCCGTTTGACGCATTCCGTATTGTACCATACCGCATAAAATGAGCACTTGCGAAATAGCTAAACCGACATTCCCGGCGAAAATGTCACCTGAAATACATATTTGAAGACTTGTAGAAGCCGCATTGAATTTAATTAATATTAATTAGCGCGTCTCGCGACTAACTTTACAGATAGATAATAAATATCAAGATTTACCATTATCGAGCACGACAAAACTGTACGTGACGACGGCGACAAAGCAAACTGAGACTATGTCCAGCGCGAAACCGAACGCTACGCCAGTAGCGACGGTCAGCGAGTAAATACTGGTGTGGAGATCTTGGTGTTCATCGAACTGTTTGCGAACCATCTCCTGAGCGCCAGCGGAGCGTATCGTCGTCAGTCCTAACAACGTGGAGTTGACATGCGAGAAGACGGGACTTTTGGCTGAAAATTTAAACGGACGTTAATTCGAAACGTTATATCGCAGCCTTTTGCTCGAAGAAAGCATGAATTTATAGCTTTTTAATGTCTTATGGATGTCCTATCATCCATAAGTATAAAAAATAAGAAATAAAATTAAATACAAAATATAGTTAAATAATTTTAACAAAATCGGCATATCTAAGACACGAACCATTCTAAATTTCTTTAGCCGAGATTCCAACCAAAATATTTTAAATCTGTGCTAAATTAGTCAAAAATGATTCGAATCTCGTCCAAATTGAGAGAAATCCGGCAATTTTAATTAAAATCGACATAGCTGAGACACGAAACATTCTAAATTTCTTTAGCCGAGATTCCAATCGAAATATTTCAAATTGGTTCATATCTCGGCCAAACCGAGAAATTATTTATATAAATAATTTTTCTTCAACTTTTTACATGTTTTGTTTAAACATTTTATTATTTATACAAATAATTTAATTAATTTTTAATTTAATTTTTTATTTCATATCATTTTATTTCATAATCAGCAAACCAAAAACGCCTATAACTTGTATTCAATTTTATTTCTTATGCATTTTTATTGCTCTTGTTGATGATAGGAGTGAGAACATCAAAAAGCTATAAACTGCCCGTGAAACTCGAAGTGGGCCAAAATGAAAAAATATGACCTAAATATTTTTTACTTCTACATTTGTGCCAAATTAGAAAGAAATCGGGGTGTAACTTTTGGGTAGGTTTACTTGTTAGTCACATAACAAAACATAATATAACTAAACAATAAATATAATTTAACATAATATTCCTTAAGGCCGATTTTTCAATAGTAGTTTAAGCTTAGATTTAAGTGCTTAAACACATCAAACACGTTATTAAAGCAGAATTTAATTTAAAAATCTAAGTTCATCGAAATATCTACTGAAAACTAAAATACTATTGAAATTCCGTCTTTAATCGCAACAATAAATAAGGAAGCTTACCATTCCCTTCCAACCGTTTTAGCTTCTGCGCCGTTGGCACGTAGATATTTCTTATTATGCTGAATAAAACAGCCATGACGATTACGGCGAATATAATCCACCAGTTGATAATCAGTACTTGCAACAGAATTCCTATCATAACCATGAATATTTGAATAGCTTCTATCATAGCCCTGGGCATAGATTCGTCCACGGCACCGATGTCCTTCGAGAAACGATTCAGAATTCGACCTGAAGAAAAAATGCATTACTTCAATAAGTGTCACCTTAATACATCCACTATCAGAATTTGCTTTGAAAAATCTCTCTACAATACTTTTTCACAATATTTTTTTTCAATTAAAGTTAGACAAAGAAAATTATGATTGTTTTATTTTGTTAAATTGCTGAAAATTATAAAATTTTGCATGCTGTTATTTTTTTAACACAAAGATAAGGGATACAAATGAAAATTTATGTTATTTAGATCCCCTCGAACAAACAATAACACTTGCAATCGATTAAGCACATCTCTAAAATACCTCGAATACTTTCCTTACTCGAATACTCTAACAACTTTTTTATCATATATTATACTTGCGCAAGGATAACACATAACAATAACAATACACATTAAGAGTTATGCGGTCACACAAGCACGCTTACCGGATGGGTTATTATTGAAGAACGACATCGGCGCCTTGAGCAGACACGAGAACATGAAGTTGTGCAGATTCTTGCTGGCATTCATGCATATCTGATAAAAAATCAAATTGCGGCACGATGTGAAGACGATGCTCGCGATGATAAATATCCCGTAAATCCACAACGCTGTGTACGTGTCCAGATATGTATCCGTATCTATAATTTTGGTCTAAGTGAAGCAAGAAAAGAGTGATAACTACTTGCATGATCAATTGTGTTATAAATAAACGTAGAAGATACTAACGATATTAGCGGAAGAGAAATTTTGCAATAACATATCACTGGTATCATTGATCTCAGCTGTTGAATAATTCGTTGTCGCAATGATTGTCGAAATATCGCTGAGTTCGTCATATGATGTGTTGTCTATTTGTCTTCTTGACCTCAACGCCGACGAAATCGCAAAGCTATCATTTTGATTTCCATGTCGTTCGCGCATCGCCTTGATATGTAGCTCCTCTTGTCTGGTCCTGCGTCGTAAGATTTATTTAGCATTAATCATAAGAATAGAGTTTCCTTTGATAAAAAAATGCGATCAAGTGCCTATAGGCTAATGGCCTATTTTATTTAAATTAAAAATAAGTTTTGAATCCGGATTGGTCTTATTTTATAATTTTTTTGCGCGCTGATTACGAATATGCAAGTCCCATGGAGGACGGACGTACCATTCCAGAGGGAACGGCCCATTTAAAATTGCACCTCTAGAACGGTACGTCAGTCCACCTTGGGACTTGCATATTCATAAATCAGCACGCCAAAAACTATAAAATAAGACTAATTTAAATTCAAAGCTTTTCTCTGAATAAAATAAGCTGAGCTTGACCGCATACTTTCGCAGATAACTCACCAATAACCGACCCAATAGTCGCAACCGCTGCTGCCGATTTGCCCCACAATCGCGAAGACAAGGAAAACAATGATCATGATTATCGAGCTACCACTACGTAAATATTTCCAGTACACTGACTTCGACATGCTTCCTTTGGCCAAGAGCTCCTCAGTTTCTTGAGGCTCTTCTTCCTCTGCATCTTCGTCAACATTGCTATTCACGTCGGATACAGAGTCCAAAGCAATTTTCGTCGTTTCTTTGTCCTCGCTAGTTTCTTGCGCTAATATCTCGAGGAAATTCACGCGTTTGGCTTGAAGACTTATAAACGTACCTTCATTCTCGATTTGACCCTAAGAAAATTAGCGTAATTAATTCTCGCGCGTCCTAAAAAACTCTATCATTTCATATTATTACTATTTATTTCTAAATAGAACTAAATAGTAGCATAACGGTAATAGTAAATATAATATTAATATGTGATATAAAATAAGTTTTTAAATAATAATATGTATAAAAATAATATAAATAGTAAAGTATATATAAAATAGATATAAAATAATAATAGTACTATAAAAAATAGTAACAATAGTAAAAATAGCATTAACACTAGAGATACATATTCAGTTCTAACACCGTTCACTAAACATCCAATGAGCTTTCGGATTGCTTTGTAATCTTGCTTTTAATTAAATCTAAAATTATACACTGATCTAGTTTAAGATCTCATTAAGTGGTCAGTGAGCAGTTGTTGTATTGAATATACACTATTACTACTATTACGACCAACATTTTACATACATTATTCAGAAAGATGATGTAATCGCATTGTTTTAGATATTGTAATTGATGAGTAACCAGAATTCTCGTCTTATCTCGTAAATAGTCCTTTATACATTCGTCAAACAGATGTCTACCAACGTGTGTGTCAACAGCCGATAAAGGATCATCGAACAGATAGATGTCAGCGTTTCTGTAGACAGCTCTGAGAAATAACAGATTTATAGTAAAAAATAGTAAAATAAAAACTAAAATAAAAAAATAAAAATATTGCGATATTCTGCCTTATTTTTTATCCTTCCATTCCATATGCATACTATTCATATATTTTACTGAAGTCTGCTATCGAACGCTCTTCGATTAAATCGATCGAATTTGCTCATATATCCAATCAATTAAACGACTTTTAATTAAATTTGTCGAGTTTGTTAATTTCTTATTTCTTTTGATTCCCTTCGCTCATATCAATTGAATAGCTTTTAGTTGAATTCGTAGGAATAGATCGTCAATTAAACATTCTTCGATTGATTTTGCAATTAATGTCGCAGGCATTAGCATTATTCAAGGTGTACTACGTGGAGATAATCCGATCGGATTTCGTTATCTCTCTCATATGTGTGTCAGCAGAGATAAAGAGTTATCACTCCCGTTAATAACCTTCAAAACTTGCTTTGTTGTGTATATGGGTGTGTATCAAAAGAAAGGATTTGGAGCAATAAAATACTACGAGAGCGACGACCCATAGGGTCTTTATCTGTATTGACACACATACACACACAAAAGAGGTGTAAATCCGACCGTGCTATCTCCACGTGGTTCATCTAGAATAATGCTAATACTTGCTAATACCTGGTAATGCTATTGCGATATTGAATCTTTGAAGATTTATAATTTTGAAAGTTCTCATTGAAGATTCGTAACCAGTGTTTTGGAAATGTCTCAATATCAATTATACAAGGACAAGCTATGAAAAATAAAGGTTTCTATTAAGATTTTTATGTTGACAACGCTTCTCAAGGTCATCCCAAAGTCAAACAAATATCAACATTTAATAGCTTTTTTAAACCCTGTTACGTTTGCTTCAAACATTTTTTAAATAAATTAATATTTTTTGAAATAATTGGCCGTTCCGGAACTTTTGGCGGGCTCTGTATATACAGGGTGTAACTTTGTTACACCGTTAACCGTAACTTTGTTACAAACTTTGAAAGATCAATATGAAGTGAGGGATGATCATATGAACAGTTTTCATATAAACTCATGTCTGGAAATATTTCGTTTGAGAATTATAAAAATTAATGTGTATAATTAGATTGCTTTCTGTTAAATATTAGTAAACCCCATAGTTTTATGCTATAATTCTAGACAGAATCGTAAGATTCGTGACTTGCTCCCCCCCGTAAAATTTGTAAGAATTTATGAGTAGACCTACAATTCTATACGTACCGTATCTCATACAGTCACTCGTAAATATTTACAATTTCACGTAATTTACGATATTTTCAAGGTGATCATACGAGATTTACGATTCTGTTTAGAATTTCAACATTACTTTCGGATTAAAGAGCATGATATATCATATTATTTACTTTCATGTAGGTATTTAATATCATGTACTTTGATATTTTTATCGTGATGTTTGTAAACATGATATTATAATCATGCGAAAACAGAACAGTTTACAGCCAACTCATCAAATTCAAGACCAGTTTTATTTGTGTGTCAGCAGAAATAAGGACCGCACAAATAACTACACTTTAAACATTTGCTGTTATCAGAGAAGTATTGCGCTTAAATGGTTTTAAAATCATGTAGGTGAGATCTAAAAACCATCTAAGCGTAACACTGGCTGTCATATACTGATAGCAATTATTGAATTGTAATAAGCTAATTTACATTAATTAAAAGTTTATAGTGTAATAATCAAAGATTTGAGTTATTATGCTGCATTGTTATTTAGACTGGTTATAATATATATCAAGGCTTATAACTTTCAAACGGAACGTTTTCGGACATGGGTTCCTATAAAATTGTTTATATTGATCACCTCTATCGTTCCTCAACGCTTGTAACAAAGTCACGCTTATACCTTATATATAAGAATAAGGTAAAAATCGTAGACTAGGAAAAATTCTAGCAAGGAAGTATTAAGACATATATGACACTTGATAATGGTTGCATTCAAAGGAAGCTACTTTGCAACCGTTGTAAAATTCCTGAATCTGATTGGTGTATGCTCTTGGCTGAATCTAAGAGCATACATCAATCAGATCCACATATTTTAGAATAGTTGTAAAGTAACTTTCTCTACTGAAGCAATGTCAATCTCGGTTTCATTCTATCCTAAAGATTCACCTTGCCAAATTAATACGCGCGCGTTGTCCACCGCTAAGAGCTGTGCCTCTGTCACCAACCAGGGTCTTATCCCTATATGGAAGTTGTTCGAAATCCTTCGTTAAAGCACACACATTAGCGACTGTCTGATATCTACTTTTATCATAAGCTTGCCCAAATAAAATGTTATTTCGCACCGAGCCCGCAAACAGCCATGCTTCTTGGCTCGCATACGATATCTTGCCATTGACGTGTATCTGGCCGTACGACGAGCTCAGTTCGCCCAGAATCGCTTGTAGGAAAGAACTCTGAAAATAAGGGTACGAAATGAATCTCGCGATGAGAGGGAAGCATTTCTCACTAAACAACATTATCTCCATCATATCTATACAACGGTGTACCTTCCCAGCGCCAACGGCACCGACCACGGCGAAAAGTTTGCCGGCTCCAATTTGAATATTTATGTTATGTAATGTGTTCACAATCGCGGTGTTCGTCCACGAAGCGCTAACATTCTTCATCGTCACGCTGGTTTCTTTGTTGCTTAATAGAGAATGCGCTAATGGCACGTTTTCGTCCAGCAACAGGAAATTCTAAATTAGAATCATAGAAATTACAGAGGGTGCGGCGATAACGGCGCTATTGCCGCAAAATAAGAGAATAGAATTCTTCACGCAATCAATAACTGTCAAAAGCTGTACAATCAAAACATTCTACCGAGTATGTAAATAGTAAATAAATAAAGATAATAATATTAATAATGGTATTTCACACCCATTCGTTAATCAGTTAGGTCTTACTTGTTACTTTAAATAGCATTTTATCATTTGTATAACGCGCGATATGCAAATACGTTGTAACATTTTCAGTGATTTACGATGCAAGGTCACTAAAAATCGAAAACACATATGATTCTTCTGTGTTGATACCTTTCATAAACATTTTTATATATCTTTCTACTCTTTATAGTATTCAGCACACTACTCTTATCTTTATAGTATTCGAGACAATCTTGATGTAACGTAAGTCGACAGCACTTCATTATACGATAAGAACAATTCGAATAATCTTGTATTACATCAAGATAGCGTAATTTCACGTTACATCTTTTGCATTCTTTAGATAATTTTTTATCAGTTTTATTGACATCGCTGTTTCGACAGCAAATACAGCATCAGTCATCAAATAAAATATTTGCAATTTTTAAATAGCACTTTATCACAATTTGCATATTGATATCTGCAGACGGAAATGTAGCCAGACATAACGACATAAAGTCACTGAATATATTATTATATCACGAAAAACCGCTCTTATCTTTAACACACTGAATACAGTTTACTTATCAGTTATCACAGTTTGATTACGCTTTCATGATACAATGTATTATAAGATAAGATAAACAAGATAAGAGTGATGATAATACTTAAAGAAAACTATATTACGAATATAAACTGCACATAAATTTCACTGCTTATATTTTGGATTTTCTTATAATTTACTTTGATATATGGGATGTCTCATTTTAATCGATATAGCGGGATATCTCCGAAATCAAGAAAAATATGCCAAAAGTGTTTTCAAAATACCCTAATATTTTTGGATGTAAAATAACGAGTAAAATCAATTGTTTAAAGAGACATATAAAAACTAAAAATTCCGTGCATTTTACAGATTTACTGATGTACCAGTGTGCAAAGATTAGTATCACCATCATTTTTCATGTTATTTTACGTATGAAGCTATTCAGATGAAGTGGTCGAAAAGTAAATAATTTACGAGATATTTCATATTGAAAAGTAATCAGGATAAAATATTAAATATTTCAGGAAGTATTCACTTATCAGTGATTTTACCTTTACTTTCTTACTTTTGTATGGAGAATGACTAGAAAAATTAATTTATCTTAAAAAAACTATATGATTCTATTTAAAAAATTAGAGTAGACCTTGCCAAAACTTTTCAGTTATTTCAAAGGATCAAATAAACGTTCTTATCTACTTTCCCCCTCGATATCCTATGATTTGAAACATTTTTCCGTGTCTTTCTTAATTTCAGAGATATTCAGCCGATTCAGAGTATCGATTAAAGATACGGGACACTCTACACCTCGATTTGTTTTTTACCTCGATTCGTTTCATGGACACTGCCGCTTCGGCAGCAGATGCAAGAGCTAGCGGATACATTATCGCCATCGTAATTTGGAGAATATTATAATATTGCGCCATTGAAAATACTTTGTCGGCGGATATAGAGTGTCCAAGAAGTACGTATGTCATAATCGTGAAGTACAATGTTGTTCTTTCTGTGAACACAAACGTGGCTAGCGTAAAGCCTCTCAGATACGACGTTAATGTGAGGACATCGATTTCGTATCTACAGAAAATCAAATTATGATGTTTATTCTTGAGTTAAACTGCTCCATCGGTCACGAAGAAGTAAGATCGAAATAAACAAACTTTCGGGCGCGGCTGACTAATTCCTGGAACGGTTTCTCCCAAGTATACATTTTGATAACTTCTATGCCACTGATTATCTCAGACATTAAACGAACTCTCTCGTCGGTTCTCATTGCAACTTTTAAACGCAACTTTGACGTCCACTTTGTGATGTATCCTGCAAAATGTTTTAACTTAATCGCGATAAATACACCCATGACTTATAGTTAATCACAATATTGTCGTAACGATACCTTGAATGGGAATAGTTTGGATAGTTATAAGAAAAACGCCTGCTAACGAAGCTACGCCGACGTTTTGCCAAATGAGAAATGCGATTATAGCTCCTTGTATGGGCATTATCCAAATATAGTGGAGCATTATGAACATTTGATCAAATCTCGACATGTCATTCGATAACAGATTAACTACTTGACCCGGAGTGGTGGTAGTAGAAGATTTTGATAGCCGTAACATCTTAAAAGAAGAAAAACAGTAAAAACATATATAATAATAAATAAATATATAAATAAACAATAATAATATAAATAACATTAATATAAATAACAATAAATAAATAAATAAACATATATATATATATATATATGAGTAAAAAAATACTTATATATGAGCAATTTTTATGGAACAAACAGTATAAAATAATGTTATACATGAGAGAATTGGGTTGTCAAGTCAATGGATCAAAATATTACTTCTTATAAAATTGCCGTATCACCTTTCTGTACATTAACGAGGAACTCGCTATTCTCATTCGCATTCCTATTTCCATTAAACCTAAATGAGAGTGATGTGTGATAAATGTTATTAATATTGCTGCAATTATCACGCCGGAAGCGTACAAATATGCTTCAGTTTTGGTGGACGTCGCTCTCGGATCGAAATGCCAAATTAGCAGACCTAATATATATGGCTGCACGATTCTATATACACGAAAAAGATATTAATGATTAATAATTATATTAGTGATTAAGAATTCTAAAATTACAAATCACAATATAAGATTCTAAAAGGACAACGATAACCAAATTGCAGTTGTTTAGTATGAATAAAATATTTTATTAATATACAAGTTACCAATATAAAATTACGGAATGCTTCGACCATACTATATCAACCGCAATAATCGCATATAAGTTAATAACTTTAATATTTGTATTTTGATCATCCAATCTAATTTGTATGCGATTATTGCATCTGAAAATGACCACATAGTATGATAGACGTCCCATAATTTTATATTGCACTGACTTGTATATTATTATTATTAATATATAAGTATATAAATATTTTATTTGCATCCAGCAATTGCAATTAAGTTATTACCTTTTAAAAATTTATATTTTATGACGAAGAAAATATTTCTCAACGATAAATGATATGAGATGATCGTTATTGATTGTAACGAATCGATTCACCTCAAAACAGTAAGCAAAAATAAAGTCCATCCTCCATAATACAAAAACGACCAAATGAACGTTTTTCTCAGAGCCGTGAAGAATTTGGGTTTTCTGCCGCTCTTCTCGGCCGCGTGTATTTCATTTTTCCAATTTCTGAAAGTATCCACGAAAAAATTATCGACAGAATTAATTATTAAATAATTAGATTATACTGTATTAGATAATAAAATTATAAACTATATATTATAGTGTTAAAAAAAGTAGTCGTTATAATATAGTATTATTACTTTGCACAATGATATAAATACAATGTATACTACATATTATATTCTAAATTTATCATTGAACATTTAATATTTCATGTATGTTTAATGAAAAATAACTTATTTACTGTTCTAGTTTATTTCCTAAAGGTTCACTAACATCATCCAGCAAGGCATTATACATGTTTTTCATTTCCAAATCATGATTTTTCCCATACCAGAATAAACTGGCCAACCAGCTGAAACATGATGTTAAATAATCAATAAATCTGCATATAAGATTACATTAGAAGATATTTGTTCAAATCAAAAAAATATTAAAATGAAACAAAGATAATTTGTATGGATTCTAAAGTAAAGGCAGAAATCATTTATATGATGCAGATATTTAAATAAAGAAGTTATAATAAAGTATTAAAATAAAGAGTAATTTATATGGTTTCTAAAATTTAGACAAAAATATAATATAAATATTTAATTTCATAAAATCATAAATTTATGAAGAATAAATATTAATATTAATGTTTTTTAAATGTTAATGTATATATTAATATATAATGTATAAATATATATATATATTATTTCATATTTATGTATGTATAAATATATAATAATGTATAAATATATATATTATTTTATATTTATGTATATATTACATATAATATGTATATTATATGTATAATAATATTGTATAATAATATTATATATATAACATTGTAGGTTAACAAAAACTGCTGTGTTCATAGTACTATACTTAGTACTGTACTATACTTAACTATGATGTAATGATGAAACTAAAAGTCATAGCTATTGCATGATATTCTTATAAGAGATACTCAGACCTTTAAGTCTCTATTAATATTCTTGAAGTTTTAAGCTTCAAATTGTGTACTCTTGAAGAATAGTTATGACAGAAATTTTCATCAAATCTCAACATAATCATTTCCTACTTTTCAAAGTAAAGGTAATTCACTGAGAATTCTTGAGAAAAAGCTTTCGTTTTAGGAAGTAACTTGATTATAAAGCAGTAATCAGTACACTATACATATCTAAATATTTATAGCACAATTCCACAAATGTGACATGTATAAATAAATACAACTTTGTAAAATAAATGTAAATTTTACTTATCATATGACATATTCACAGTATGAAATCTAATTAAAATGATTTGCATGTGGAGTAATAAATTGTTATCTGAATAATATTTGGGAAAAAAGCAATTTATAATTACTTAAACTTACTTTATCTAAATATACTATGTAGTACTGTTTAAACACATATGGTATGATAATGATTATATTATAGTTGAACGAAGAATCTAATCTGTCAGACATCATAGATAAGAACTTATCTTTGAAAAATCAATTATTTCATTCAAGATTTATTTCCTCTACTTATAATAGAAGTGTGCTTCTCGAGTGTCCATGTTACAGATATGTGTGACACCACTAGGCATTTTATATTGATTTTATGATTGCTTAATTTGTGATGGTAACTTTGTGACACGTGCTGCACTCGTGGTATGTTCGACTTACCCGAAAACCAACTTGCTCAATGGATTTGCAGATGCCCGAGGATTTGGATTGTCGAATTTTTTCGTGGAGTCCATCTCTCCTCTCGTTTCCGGCGTCAGCGAGTTACCCAACGATGTACCCAACGTCAAACTGAATGGCACTACTTCACGAAAGCCACACTTGTGATTCTGCGTCAAACTTGTGTGTGTGGTTGCGCACGCACTGCTCACTTTAAAAAACGGGGAAACGAATAATCTGACGTTATTCTTTCCACCTACCGGAATGATTTGACATAGCAATTCATTCGACAAATTAAAGCAATTCGACAAAGCATAAGAGGGGATAATGATTGACACAGTGAATTGAAGGATATATAGACATGTTATATAAGCCTCTGTTGTAACTCTCAATTGAGTGTTCTCTGAAGTTCTTTCGATAAGAATATTTCAAGTGTTTAAAATTGGAGAATTCTACACACATTATATATGCATATATATATATGTGTGTGTGTGTGTGTGGTTCGCTCGAATTACGCCTTCGTATGCTACCACACGTGATTATTTTATATTTAGAAAATATGACTGAAGTAAATAAATTTATTCCTATAAATTTAACTATCATTAAGTGGTTCCCACGTACAGCACAAAGCACTTGCAAAACGCTTATATAGCGCTTATATAGCAGTAAGACACCTGCAAAAGCGCTTTCTGAGCGCCTTGCAGACGCTACTATGCTACTTAGGTTTTAGCAAAGTTGATAGATATGATAAGCAATTAACGCATGCGCGTCGAAATAGTAAGGAATCCAATAAAATCTGTATCAAACTAAAGATTGGAGATTAACTCTCCGAAAACACACTGGGTCAATTTGACCCTTACCTCACATTGATCATGAATATGTTGAAAATTGGCGGGATTGACGCCCTCTATCTATAGTTTTGGGTACGATTGTTTCTTGTAAATTACAATTTTTACAAAAAAAAATTTTTTTTGAGAATTTTTTTAGATATGTTAATAACTATAACGACATTTTTAATTTATTTTACGTGATTTTTCTATATCTCAGGTATATCTAGAAATTTTTTTAAGCTAATCGCACACGTCGTTTTAAAATGGCGGACCCTCAAAGTTAGCGTAGGGTCAGATTGACCCAGAGTGTACTCTATGCTTGAAAAAATAGGTGTGTTCTCGGAGAGTTAAAGATTGCGGATTGAAAATTAGATTTCGACGAATTATCAAATTTCTGTCTTAAATTGCTTTGTTCTAATTGATCAAGTTCCAATTTTCAGTCCACAAACTTCAGACTCCAATCTATAGTCTGATACAGGCATAATGCACATGAGCATTATGAGCTTTCTACAATAATTATTCTACAATTATTCATAAAAGATTATTTTCAAAAATAATAATTACTTAACTCACCTATGGCTAATTAACGACCTATATAACTAGATGGAGCATCCATATAGAATCCGTGTAAAAAAGGTGAAGTTGACATGTGAAGGGGAGAGAATGATAATCTTTAAGTATTCCTTTTCTCTTTTCAACCAGTTAGTAATGTATGTATGCTATCAAGAGAGCTGTCAAGAATAGGTAAGCAGAATATACGCAAAAAAAGTGGTAAGAGTTAAAGAAATTGAGATATAAATATAATTATAAATTATGAAACAGAGACTTGAGATAAAGGATTTGAATGAAGGTTAGAATATATATAAGAAAAAAAGGGAAATACACTTGACTTTGGAAGAAAAGAGAAAAGTATATCCTTAGGCTGCGTTCAGAAACACACAGAGTGTGCACACTACTAGACGATAGCCGTTGGAGTGAGCGAAATACAAGAGTGAGATAAAAAGAGAGGGAGAGTATTCGAGTGACACTTCCGAACGCAGCCCTAGTTTTGAAAGAAAAGAGAGAAGTATACTTGATAAAGATAGCTCCTTGCCTCAATATTTTTCTGCCAACTTTCAGAATTTCAGACAGCACACGATTCTATGGATATTCTGCGGACGTTCTTAGAACATAGGGACATCCTTTGGACGTCTTTGGGATGTCCCTGGGAAGTTGTGCTATTGGGAATGGCTTCACAGTATACCTTCCGAATACTCTGTTTAATTATATAGATCGTTGTGAACAACGACCTAAAATATATGTTATATATACACACACGTATAAACACACCTATTTTATATTAATTTTTAAAAATTTTAAACATTTTTCGCTGATACACAAAAGAGCCCAATAATGATACTCTATTTTATTTGCTTTAGATACTTTCTTGATGTCGTGATTGCTGCGCATGTGCAAAATATCTATTAAATCTGTTATCTAGATTCAAGGTCAATTAATACCAGTAAGATATTATTAAGTGTTTCTCAGTAAGAACGTGTTACATTACATTGTGCTACATAGTACAATATATTTATTGGAATGCAGTTAATTTTCTTAGTATAATACCGGAGTGCATTACAGTTTCCTATTCTTATTTTCACGAGTATTTAACGCATCTACAATAATCATATAATTCAGAAGAAATTTTTAGTTAGTATAAAAAAAGTAACAAGTTTTTATTACCCTACATAGACTTTCCAAAGAACAATCATAGTTTTATACATTTCAAACATTCAATTATGTTATTACACACACATTGTTAGCATGTAAACGACACTGAAAATAAATAAAATAGAATTTAATGATGTTTATTTTTTTATATGTAAATATTACAATTTTAATTTGTTTTTTAATATCCTACATGTAACTTAAAAAATCTATGTCTTAATAATCTTTTAAAAAAATACATATTGTATATATACAATATGTAAATTGTTTCTGTTCCTATTGCCTCTGCCATATTCTATTATGCATCGATACACGATTTTTCGTAAGCTGAAATCTGGGTACTTCAGTTGTCTGTGCTATTCTCTGTTCCTATTCCCTCTGCTTGCAATATGTTTGCATTGGCTGCGTTCAGTAGAGCAAGCTGCTTTGCAACTGTTGTAAAATTCGTGAGTCTGATTGGATTATATGTTCTTAATTTTGGTTAAATCCAAGAGCATGTACCAATCAGATTCACGAATTTTACATAGTTACAAAGCAGTTTTTTCTGCTAAACACAGGCATTGTATTAGGGCTATGGGCTATCGCACACAAATTGACATAACTGCATATGCATAGCATAAGACCGTATGTACCAATGAGCATCGAGTATTAAGTCGCCATATTGGTGTTCGATGCTTAATATTCGATGCTCATTGGTCCATACGATCTTATGCTATGCATATGCAGTTATGTCAATTTGTGTGCGATAGCCCTTAGGCCTTCCCGTATGAAAGGTGAGGGCGCTGAGAGCTGTCATAGATGGCGCAGCAACGCAGACGCCGTTCATTGTTTATGTTTACATCAACCTTGTATACACTCCGTTTTGCGAATGTCGATCGGTTCGCCGAGTTCTTTCATGCATTTCTCATTAATCAGTGGAGATCTCATGCAGAATTTATCGCACAGGTAGCCGTGAGACACAAATGTCAAACAGATATATAATGAAGTGAGGTTCATTTTCATATTACGTCTTGTGCAGTGTAAATAAATTCGTTCGCGCCAATGGCATTTTCATTTCGTGTCGGTACCAATTGGTGCCACGACTTCCCGAAACTGGCCAGGGAGTCGGGATTTTACTTCAACATGCACGGCTCTAGAGTACGAGTGGATTGGAATCGCATAAGTACGCGGATGTTGTCCGTACGAAGTGATGCAGACTTCATTCTCGCGATTATTACTGACTAATCTTTCGCATGTTGCAGGTGCCATAGACATAGACAGAGTGATACGCGAGAGAGATTTCTCGACCATCGATGAGAACATCAACAACGTAATAGATTATTGTTTGGAGAGTGAATACGACGTCAAGATCTTAGATTCTAATTTTGTTAAATTATTTAGACTAGCGCAACTGTCAGTGGAGTATTTATTATATTGCAAACAGTACTTAGATCACAGTGTAATAATATTGAAGGATGAGTTAAGGCTGAAAATTGAGCAAAATGTTGCCATGAAGAAGGAAATTACTAGCTTAGAGGAGACGATAAGGAGTATGAAGGAGAAATTGAAAGAAAAGTCTAAATTTATTGAAACCAGAGTTGGTGATTCTACTGGAGAGATTTACAAAGTAAGATAATGTACAACTTTAATTATAAGTTATACAGAGTGATTCTAGTAACTGAATTTAGTTATAGCTCTTTTTACAATGAAAAGAAGTAGCAGAGAAAAAACTAGTATAATCCACCATTCTGTGATATATTTCATTAAATCATGCTTTATTGATAATCTATTTCAATTTATGATAACAGATTTATTCTTTTCAGTTATATTTTTTACTTGTGAAACAATTGTTTTAGGAAGTACATGAAAACACAATTTGAATAAACTAATTTTATTGTTTGATTCATATTTCCTTTTACAGTTATTTATTTATTACATCAATACAAACAATCTACTTGGAAAAGAATATTTGAATCTGAAGATGCAATGTAAAATGGAACCTTTAAAAAATGGTGATGTTAAATGCATATGTGTATAAATAGTTCTTGAGTAATACTTTTGTATTATATAAAAACTGTTTTTGTATAATTTTTAATATTTATGAAATATATCGTAAATCTAACTAAGATTTAACTCTACAACTTTTTTCTATCTTGACTTAGAAAAGAACTCAGTTGCTAGAATGATCCTGTATACCTTGTTAATTATAAATCGTGAATTTGCAATATATCTCTAACATTTAATCGCGAACTTTACGCCAGTGCCCGCATTGTCCGAAAACTTTTGTATCTGCTCTGTTTGTAAATGCTCATGTAGCACGTCGACACTCGTACATATCAGACATGCGTATGTCTACATCTCCTGTGCACGAACATTATCGAGCAGAAACTGAAAAATTGCACAATGAGATAAAGACTTTGAAAGAGAGACTCAATCAGACCGAGAGAGTGATAATGAACGAATCTGATAAATTGCTGGACAATACGGAGAGAAACTATGTCAGGAATATGAGCAAAAATGAATCGAATGTCGTCACAACTGACAAAGCAGAGCAAAGAAGGTATCAAGAGGATATCAGCAGCTTGAAGAACATGCTGTTTAATGAGATACGTGTAAGTTATCGTGTCAATAGCTTTAGTATTTGCAGTATTTATTCCTTTATATTATAATATTGAATGAATTTCTTTACAGGCATTAAGAGAGAAAGAGCAGAATGTGAATGAGAGTATCTTGGAAGCAAACGTGAAAACTTTAATTGGGCAACAAGAAAGGGAAATTGAAAGTCTGAGAAATCAGCTTCTCGAAAGAGTAAGAATGTAACTTTATTATGTATTATCACTTTGCGAGAGGATGATGTTGCTACATCCAGCGTGTGAAATTATTTTCTAGTTGACTCCGGGCATGGAAAGTATGCAGGCGAAATTACAAACGCAAGAAAATTATTGGAAGGCCAAGCTGGAAGACATGGAGGCACAACATCACAGAGACATTGAAAGATTGACCACGGAACTGAAAGTGACTCAACAAGTGGCCGACCGTACGAAGTCCGAGTATACGTCCAAGGTGCACGATTTGGAGAAACTATCGATGGATCAGTCGAACATATTAGTAGAACAAGGAAAGCAATTGGATAACTTATCACGCGAGATCAGTAATTCGCAGATACAAAACAATAATCACAAAACGGGGGAAAAGATTGATGCGGTGGAAAAATTTCACGAGTCGCCTTTATTGAAAATGAAACGCGACAGCGTGAATAGTTACACCGACAATGACGAGTCTTATCGTAAGAACTTGAGCAGCACCAGAAATGGCGAGATGATTATCGAAGATATCGGCAGCGAATCTAGTCGAGAATACAGCGACAGATACACATCTAATAGGATGGATATCGTGAAAAACAGAGACAGCAGAAGGATGATCACCGATCTCGGCAGAACCGCGGAACACGCAGCCGCCAAGCCAGATCCGAAATTTTCGCAAAGATCAGAGATCGTCAGAGAGAGAAGAACGAAAGACAAAGCAAAGCATGACACATCCAAAGACATAGATAAAACGTTAAACCGTTCGAACAGAAGTTTTAGCATTAAAGATTTGGAGGACTCTCCTGTAAACGTAACAAAGACATATAACACAGAAAGAAAAAGATTATTCCATACGGATGAGACGAAAAACAACAAGAGATTCGAACTCTCGGAGAAGCGTAGTGTAAGTTCCATGACGGAGTCCGAGTCTTCGTTGTCTACGTCGGAATCAGAATCAGAGTCCGACAGCGAGAGCGTTACAACAAACGATGACATTACGGTAAAGCAATACGAAATAAAGTCCGCGGTGAAATCCCCCGACGCGAGAAGAGAATCGATACAGGAGGATGCGCGCAGCATGTTCGACAATCGACTGAGAGATCTAGGAATTGATCCGGAATGGCAAGGTATACCCGCGGCAACGTTTAAGCAAAAGATGGACATTGTGAGACATCAAGAGAGTATTGACGCGAAGAAATTGGCGCAGTACCATCGAATAAAACAGAAACTACTCAAGAATCTCCTGCAAAGGATATCCGCGAGTCGTGAGAAATCGGAGCAAATTGCGAACACGAAGAAGTCTCCTTTGCACAAGCTAGTCACTCACGTCAGATCGAAAGCCGTGAAAGCACCTGGCAGTCATATAGACAGCGGTAATTACTATAAATACATTAGAAATTTTATATATGCAATTGTACAGAGTGTCCGGTAACTCACGGAGGAGTCGCGGTGTACAGGTAGATTAGGTCAAACATAAAATTCCTTTACCATTTTACGAACCACGTAAAATTTTGAGTCATTAATCTATGAAGATTCGTGAATCACGCGCCATACGGTAGACAGGTTGTGATGGTAATGTTTACCGCTTTATACTTGTATATTAGATTAAACTAGACAAAATAGTCTTCTACCATCTTCCAAATGATCACGTAGATGTTTAGTTATTAATTAAAAAAGATTAGTGTTTTGTTCGAACACTCTGTATAATTATTGCGATATATATTATTAAAACATTCATATTTATTATGTATATATAATTATAAATTATATTTAAAAAACTTTATTATAAACTGTTGATATGATTTTTCATATCTAGCAGTTTTAATACGAAGCATTATGTCTCATCTTTTAATATAACTTCTTTTTTCTCCTTAGATGAATATGTAGCTGTTCAGAAAACCGGAAACACGACGCCGTCGAAATTACGCCTGAAGCAGAAGATCGAGCTGCTCCCTCGAAAATATAAAGACGAGGAGACATTCGAGGATACGCGTCGATCTTCGCTGATAAGAAACAGGCCGGATGTTTACACTAGTCCGAAAGTATTATCGGCGCAGCCGAGATTAATTACTGATAAGAATGCGAATCGGAATATCTCTTCCGCAAGTTCCGCTGAAAGCTCGCCGAAGACTGTCAAACAGATCTCGTCCACAAGGATAACGGTGCAGGATAGTAGCGCGCGTAAAGCAGACTCTCCAATCGGCAGGAAGCAGCTGATAGCATCGAAGCTTCCTGAAAACAATGACTCGGACAGCACGGTCGCGCAGCGAGAAGATTCGATCGTATCACCGAAGAATAATAAAAGCGTCCTGAAACCAACCACTAGTGGTTCGGTCGGCAATTTGATCAAGAAGAAAGTCATCTTCGACTTAGAAGATAGAAAAAATGAAGCGATAGCACCGGAAAACGACCCGAATGCAAGGAGCCAAGTGAATAACAGCGACTGGAACATCTCAAGTTCTCTCGAGACGAGAGACTATCCATTGCAGAAAGAGAAGTCCATGAGCACAGGTATAAGGTTGCAAGTAATTATTTGTTTAATTCACTATCGCGTGTTTAATTGACGATTAAGAACATGTTTGTTCAAATCAATCATTAAGTTGAGAAAAATTTAATTGATATTTTTACAACTCTGCACAGGTAATATCCTTCTAAAAACCTCGCAAAGTGACAAAATCGCGGAGATCTCGAAGAAGATACAGGAACAGGTGAGGAATATGCTGTAGAAGCATTGATCAACATTTTGAGAAATCGATTGAGATTAGTCAGAAATAATCGTTTTGAATTCTTTTCCAGTTGAACATAGTGAGGAAGCCTCCTGTGGGATCGGTTGAAACGATCTTCCGGGCGAACATGAATTTGCAGGATCTGGCGGGTTACAGCGCGGGGAATAGGTTGTTAAATGCAACTAGTCTTCCGGACACGATTTCGGAGAGCCCCATACGGAGCTTTGCGAGTCCCAAAGCAAAAAGTAGCATGCTATTTCCGCAACCTGCTCCGCGAACTTTGAAGGATAAAGATCTCACTGTAGCTGAACGTGAGAATCAGTTGTCTCCGTTGAAGTACTCCGATTTAGATTCGGATATTGATGAGATATTGCAGATGGATTGAGAAAATTGTATGATATTAGTCATACATGAAATCACCATTTGTTTTAATTGTATATTCTGCATTTTGTTTCATCCTTTCTCTCAAGACTCAAATGCATATATAAATGTAAGTGCAGCAGTTTTAAAAGAAAGTGCAATCGAATCAAATGATTCGTTATACTTCCTGTTTCTGGTTGCTTTTCCTGTACTACAATTATTTTACTTTTCTTCTTTCTTCAAAGTAGTGTCAAACATATACCTGATAATTTTATTCAAAGTACATAATCATTTTGTTCTTTTCCCTTTTTTGCTTGAGACCCGAATGTATATATAATTATAAGTGCAGAAAGTGTAAGAGAGAGAGTGAGGTGCAATCGAATCGAATGAACTATCTTGTCATCTTAGCTTCTCTTCCTGTACTCACAATGTTTTACTTCCTTTCTTTCTTTCAAGAAGTGTCAAACATTATATCTAATCTAATTTTGTTTAAAGTATACAAAATGTAACATAACGTAGTTAATGAAAACGAACATTATTAGAGTTAGAATAGAGACTATTTTGATCCACGTAGTTGGATCATCGTTGCGCCGCTCCGGTGCGTTCATTTTAGATGCTTATATGCTGAAAGTATCACTTTGTCTTACCTTGGCATGTAATGTGCATAAAGATAAAATGATGCTATCAGCACGAAGGCATCCAAAGCGAACGCAAATACTATAGTATAGAGAGATGGAGGCAGAAAAATTATGTTGCGTATGTACTATAATTTTTACATTACGTGACTATACAGTGATATGTATGTATAAATAAACACACAGTAAACATTTGTAATATTGCTGTGGCGAATAAGTTAATTATGTCTTGAAAACGATAATTCGCTTTTAAAGCTTTCTCCTGTTCTGTAACAAGAGAGAATAATCATGACAGGAATGTCGGATTTATTTTGCCTGATCTGTGATATAACTGTCAACGACTCGTCCAGTGTGAATATTTGTACTTCTTCTCAACGTGACGGAGAGCCGCTCGTCAATTTCGCTACACGAATATTCAGACCTACTACTTTGGAATTTCGCAGCACTTACATCTGCTTACAATGTTACAAACTCTTCCAAATGCTGGAGCAAGCCCAGTGTACTGTAGCGAACATACGTTGTGAGATTCTCAAGGTATATGGAAGAAGCAGGAAAGAAAGAGCTATCAAGCAAGAACTGCAAGGCAAAGGACATGATTTTGTGGAGAATTTCGGCGAGCAGAATGAAGCGGTTACAGATGGCATGGTACATCAAATAAAGGCTACTTTGCCCTTCAGATCTATTGGCAATGAGATCATTACATCACAGACATTTTCACAAGATGCAATATTTAATCAAGATATGAATATTCAGAGTATCGACACAATCATAGAGAATAATACTACTAAAGTTATTAAAAACACAAGTACAAAAATTGAGGAAGTTAATTGTTTGAGCAAGGAAGATATATCTCAGACCAATATCAAAGATTCTACTCTACCTCAAAATGATCAAACACAGAAACAAAACTTCTTACATGCATATAAAACTTGTGTAAATATCGTAGAAACCAAAACAGATGAAGAAAACTCATTTAGTGAGTGCAACTTTATAAGTAACATAAAAAAATAATATTTCTTTTTTATCTTTTTTCCCATATTTTATTAATATAATATATTAATATTTGTACTTAATAATGTAGTGGTATATAATAGGTAAAATTTTTTAGATAAAATAGAAAAATTGTATTTTTATATTGTTATAATTTTATGAAACACTATGTACTAGTACCAAACTACGTTTGGTTTATCATATTACATTATTTAAATTTCAGGAAAAGAAGTTGATTATTGTGATATTGGAAGAGAAGTTGATTATTGTGGTATTGCTAATGTGAATACTTCAACAGAAGTATATTGTGCACCAGCTTCAGAGAATTCAAAAAGAGTGTTAAAGCACAATTCAGAGTCTATGGAACATTTATGCTCTACTTGTGGAACCAAATGGAAGACACGAGCAGAATTGAGAGCGCACATGAAAACACATTTAACATTAAGGATATTCATGTGTGAAAAATGCGGGCGCGTCTACAAACACAAACACGCCCTGGAAGTGCATGTTGGAATGCATAATGGCATAAATCCCTTCCAATGTAGCTATTGTAAGAAGTGTTTTACGCAAAAGGGCGCGTTAATAAGACATCTACCAATACATACTGGTGAGACTCCTTATCAATGTGAAATGTGTGGCAAAAGATTCATACATCACACATCGTACAACATGCACATGTCATCTCATAATGGCAAGAAACCTCACAAGTGTGAAGTAAGTTTTTCATTGTATGAATATATGTAAAATATGCATTTGTGAAAGTACACACACACACACACATATTGATTTTATATATTATATTACATATATGATTATATTTTTCTTAAGGCTCTTAGTTGCTCAGCGTGGCTGTCTTGATTTATGGTGTCAGAAGAGTGAGAAAATACACACTAAAGTATTCAAATCTTATATTTAAGACAGTCTTAAATATAAGTTCCGATTTTGAATACTGGCCTAAAAATTCTTGCAAAAATGCGTATAAATAAAATTTATCCATGAAATGATACTTGCGATCGATCGAGCAGATGTGTAAAATAGCTCAAACACTTTTCTTTTGTTTTAACAACCAATGAACAACTGTAAAATTAACGTAAGACAAAATCATGGAGAAAAAAGTAGGTAAAAAGATAGATTGCGTGTTACTTTAATTTTATAGTAAGTTAGAGTAAAAAAGGAAAACGTTTGGACTATTTTAAAGATGTACCCGACCCATTACAAGCATCACTTTATGGATATATATTTCAACATATTTTGCAAGAATTTTTATCGTGTATTTTCTCGACGTCTTCTGACGTCGTCAATCAAGAATTCCGCCTTAAGATTTGCGACAAGTTTAAAATAAAAGTATGTTTCTCTTAAGATTTGCGACAAGTTTTTGCTCTCAACGTCGCACTTGAAGAGGCATATGCGAGTTCATACTGGTGAGAGGCCCTACAGCTGTTATATATGCGGAAAACGATTCGCGGAACGATACAACTTATTGGTCCACCATAAAATACATGATCCAGATGGAAGCAAGATGAGACAGGAGAAGAAAGTTCAAAAAAAGTGAGCGAGATTCATCACGAAATCATTCATCCTTTAATAGTCACGATTGTTTATTTGGCTCTTTTGCAGGTGCGAACAGAATGATTTGGTATCAAGTGAGAGGCAAAAATTAGATATTCACCCGAAATGCCAAGACAACTCAGGTATTTTTAACATAGACGTGAATGCTGCAGAAATATCAGATAGTTTCGTGTCACATGTTCAAACTCAGGATACGAATATGAAGCAGACAAATTATCGAGACAACGCAAACGAAGAAACGTGGATGCAACCAGATAACGTGAAAATGTATGGCGTCGACGATCAAACCAGACTCGTGTTTTCTTTACCTCATCTCGTTACGAATCCCTTGGTTACGTTCACTGAACAAGACTTCTCTGTACAAAGCATAAATTGCGACACAAATCTACAAGTAGACGTAGCTTCAAACGCAGTAAATTTAAACGGTAATCACATCGTATCAACGCGCATTTGAAAGTTAAAGAATCAAAGAAACAATTCAATGAATGTCATAGAGACTAAATAGTAGTATACGATTGAAGTTCCAACAGAGGCTAATATATAAAGATAGAAATAAATTTTCTAAATTTTTAGAGATAAATTTTTTTAATTTAGAAATAAATTTTCTTAGTGTTTTATAGATTTAAGTAAAAAATATCCGCGCATTGCAATGTATTGTTTGTTGTTTTATCATGGCATAGTAAAACTGACGTAATTATTAACAGGCTTGTGCCATAGATTTTAAGATTACGTCTACGCGGATTGTTTATATATTTTTTACGTGATGTATACACGTGATACGTGTGATCGTTTTTTATGTAGACAATATAAATTATGTGAAAAATATTTCAAATTATATTAAAATGTATAAAAAAGGAAAAATTAAATTATGAGACGTTTGCCGTATCTGTTTTGGCTTATCATTAATTATGTAAAGATGTAATGTTTAAAAGAAATAGGAAATAGCAATTTGCAATTGAAATTTTTATTTCATTATGTGACAGATTGATAGATTTTATTTTCTGTAGGTAAAAATGTAGCCAGGAAATTCTGTGGACTTTAACTTGTTCAGGAAACAAGTAATAACTTTGCATCAGGATTCTTTCAGGGATTATATAAAAATATTAACTTTTTCATTAATTTTTTAGCAAACTACGTTCATTAAACGATACCATAGATTGTTCATTGTCTACATATATGACATTTCATAGTGACATAGTTTACGTTGTCTACACGTAGACGTAGTATATTATGTTTTACGCGTAAACACCTAACTCCGATTATTAATATATGTGCAAATATAACTTGAACGCAATGCAAGGACAATAGTAACAATGCAAACGAAGTACAAGCACATAACTTTTTACGTTCTTTCTTTCTCGCATATTTATAAGACAGGTGACATGTTCCTCAGATTAAAAACTATTTTTGAAGATATGTTCATTTTTAACAACTACAGACCAATATACTATTGTTATCGTCGTACGCATAATATTAATAACTGCAAATTTTGCGCTATATATTTTTATAAGAAGCGTCAAGTGTGTTAAGAATTGTTTTTTTCTTTCCTCACATAAAGTGATAGTCACAGCGAGACTTTGTTCTATGTTGTTGTAAGTTAGAATTCTCCGCAGTTTGATGATGATCGTCCGCTCATCACTTCTGCAGTGTGGTTCTTTGTGTGTGAAATATTGTTTTCTGTTGACGTTTCGATACTGAAACATTTCTGTATCGATAAGATAAAAAAAAAACTGTAAATTGAGGTGCGGATTTGAAAAGTTTTACGAAGATTTTATGATATATATACTCACTCTCTCATTTCGTTAACGATACTCTCGAGCGCAGCAGGAATCGCTATCTGCGTAAAATGATTCATTTCCGAAAGGAAGATGGATTTCCTATAAGACTGATTTACGCATAACTCTTGTATAAAATCGATTAGCGAATCGAAAGCTCTTATATAATCGTCCATGAATAACTGCGACATATAACGGTATACAGTATTATATTATTTTTAACTAAAACTTTTATACGAATGAAAACAATGTATATCTTTTACCACTAAAGAGAAGAAGCCAGGATGACTCCCGTGATAGTCCAAATATAATTGTCTGCTTTTCATAACAAGCTCGATGTACATGTTCTTCAACGTTTTCGCTTTCCCATCATCTACCTCCAGCTTCTCCTTTAGGTGATAATTATATTTAAGTGCATATACGCAAGAAACGCGTGAGACGCTTAATACTCGGATATTTATCGCAGCGCGATGGAACTGTTTAATTCTCTGATCTTTAATTTTTTACTTTACAAATTTAGTGTTATTTTAATAGAGAAATAACAATCTACACCCTAATCTACATCCCTTCACAAGCGATGGTACTATTGTCCTGGGACACCCTATATGTAAAGATATGTCGAGATTTAAAGGGTTAAAATCATTTACTGTTTTCGTCGCGTCGTTATTGGACTCGTTAAGATCGTATTCCTCGTCAGGAATAAATGTCGCGCCCAATTCTAACGTACTACGACGTTGCAACATCCTTGTCCTGTGTAATTCTCGCTTCGTCTCCTCATCGTCGATGATAATATTCGCTTCCTCATCCAGTAACACCTAATTAATGTTAATCGCATATTAGACAAACTCTGCCCGAAGTTATCGGACTCTTCGTACTTTTAACTCTCCCACCGCGTATTGTCCTTCGGATAGCAACTGATCGAACGATTTGATGATGTATTCTTTGTTATTCTTTTCTTGGCACACGACGCGTTTCTTCGTCCCTAATAAGAACTCACGTCTTCCCACGATGACTTTCGGCAACATTGTCTTACTCGTGAGTATTATATCAGTTGTTGTCGCCCCGGTTCCTTGCGGTCTTATATAGATGCTGTAGGTAGGCAGTTCTAGGCGTTCTATTATCTAATAATGCACACACGCATGTGTTTATATGTATATCTTTAAAATGTATGTATATAGAAATCTTTAACCCACTTTGAGCCTTTGTTTATTTTGCAAATTTAATATTATTTTTAACCGACAGATATCAGACAGACGGAAATAGTGCTTTCAAAGTTTCATTTGAAAAGCGGAAACGAATTGTGAAACTTTTTGTTCAGTTTGATTTAATCTACCGCAGCTCCTCTGTGAGTTCGACTCTGTATACATACATTTTATATTTTAAATGTTTATATTTAAAGACCAAAAGAATAAGAATGTCCAGAATTAGATATATATCCAGGGATTGGTACTTTTCCTTCAGATTGTACATCGCATCGTGAAATTATGCGACAAGCGGTTACGAACCTCGTCCATAATTTCCGTAATGAAATCTAACACGCAACTGGCGGTTTCTACATCGTTATCCCCGACGTGCTTGCCTATCTTCACGATCAACAGATTCTCCGCGCTGTCCTTGATCCACGTGTAGATATCAAACTTCGCCTGCGCCCAGACGCGATGAAGATCCACGCTCTGTGTGAGCACGAGAATCGCCTTGACGTTGGGATATCGCTTAGAGATCTCCATGGTAGCGTACAGATTCATCTGAGTGAGACCGATTTTTTTCTCGGATATCAACGGGACGATCTGATCCTCATCTGCATGCGAAAAAACGCGATAATTCGTAAACGGGAAGATCTTCACGCGAATCGGTATGAGCGACTTTTACAAAACAGTATTGATCAGTAATAAATCATATAGGTCAGTAATAAATCAGTTTGCTTAGTAATTTTATTACTAGTGACTAATGAGTAACTTAAATTACAGAGTTACTAATGCTACAGAGTAATTACAACGTGATTACAGAATGATTACGACGATAGTGATAATCACTGATGTATTAGATTTTTATGATGAATTATTGATGCGAATTATTCCCTAATAACGAGAAAAACTACAGAGAGGAACAAGTATCAATTTTCTCATGATGTATGAATGTTTTCATATCACGTATTTTTCAAACTAATTTATTATTTGCTCTACCCTTATAGAAATATCATATTAAGAATCATTGATAATTACTTATTTTCAGTATTAAAAATACTGGATAATAAGTAATTATCAATGATTCTTAGTATGATATTTCTATAAGGGTAGATCGTTATAATGTTTAGTTAATAATTCACCAAATAATCACTGAATCTCATTGAGCAACGATTGATCACTATTATTTCTATAGTGATTACCAGTAATACTTTTTTGTAAGGTGATATATGTATCGAACTAACGAAATCCGTAACTATGGCCTAGAAGATCTAGAATCACCAAGAATTCGCCGCATCGCGCCATGTCATTGAACTTCTCTCTGTCTACAAGAATATAAGTGTCACTCTCGTCGTCGTTCTCGCAAGTCTCCTTCGTGGTGTGCCAACGGCAATATTTTACCTACGAAAATTACGTCGCGTTTCTTATATTGAAGAGAGGATCATTTAAACAAAAAAAAGACATGTCCTCTTTGTAAATTACTTTGTCAGGAATCGTTCGAGTCACATGCAAAGCCAATGCCATTTTCTTCATCGCCGATGGGCCCGTTAAAATGACCAGCGGCGGGGCGATCTCGTCGTAAGGTTGAACGTGAGCATGTATTTTGTCGATATTTAAATGCTCCAACAACATTAATTTCGCTACGTTACGTGCAGCTGTCAGATCTAGCGGCGATGCAAATAACGTGAACGATGTTACCTGGAAAACACATCTACGCTTAGGGTAATTTCCAAGAGGATAGTAAATTTACCTTCTATTTAGCAGAGTCAACAAAATTGAAGAAAAAAATTTAGTGTTTAAATGAATTTAAATGGTTTCCTGAATGCAGTTACATTGTTCTCAAAATATCATTTTGAATACATTTTCGATTTTTGTCATTTAGCGGCAAAACTGAGACCACTGAGACGAACAGAACCAGATGTTGTTTCAAAGTAATAGTGCTAAATAAATGCGTCCTGCGTCTATCGTTCTTGCATATAGTTTACCAGAAATCGATGTTGCATAAGAGCAACATTATTAAATAAAGGATCGAAGCAAAAAATTGCGATATGTTGTTCGATTACAAAATTCTATAATAATTTTTATTATGGAGTTCTCTTCGTATAAGAACCACAATTGACACCTTTTCCGCTGCTAGTACTTCGACACCGTCGATGAATTTAATACTTGGTATGGAAGATATCAGCACGTTTCGATAATTCGGCCACTTTGTACAAGCATTACCCCTGAAGTCCACTTCGTGTATCGAACCCTTCAGATTCAGAACTTCCAGCAGATCGTTGATTTTGTTGAATTTTAGATCCACGAGGTGTAAGCTATACGTGTCCTGAAAACGTGATTCGATTCATTTGTGAAGGCATAATTGACTCGCAAATTCTCAAATATGTTTCGCTGTCAACGATTACTTTGAAGAATTGCAAGGTCGACAGTTTGTTGTGTGCCAAGAGTATCGTTTGTAGATCAGGTAATACATTTATACCACGACCTGGTATAGCTGATTTAAATGACGTTATGCAATTGCATCTTAGACTCAGTTCCTGTATATGCAAATTGTCCAAGTTTTCAATACATTCGATGAGATTGTAAGACAAATCTAAGTACCGCAGGTGTCTACAATGAAAATAAGACAAGACTAAGGTGGCACAAGACAATGAGGTCGAATTATACACGAACATCGAACGTTCAGTTCGAATACCGAACATCGTACATGGAAAGAATTTTATAATATTGTTATAGAATTTTGTAACCCCGCAAGGAATATATTAACGCATAATTATTTATCGTCTTAATTATTTATTTTAATTCATTTATTATTTATATTAATTTATTTCCTTTCATTTCATATGCTATTTATATCTTAGAAATTGAAATCTACTATTAAAAAATTATTTTCTAATTAAAATATTTATATTATATTTTTTAAATAACAAGATAAACTCTGCTGATACAGTCTATTTCTGCACTACCAAAAAATACGATAAAATGGAAAAAAATTTATAAAATTAACGGACAAGAAGAGCCAAATTGCAAATTTAATTTGTATATATTGTAAGGTGGTGGTAAGGCGCCCACTCCGTCACAAAAATTTTAGTTAAATAGTCGAGACGCGTGAGATACATGTGGAAAGAGAACAGAAAATAGCATAAGAAGCAGTGTTAGGAAACCCGGGCGCACTGGCGTTTTTCCCCCTTCACTTAACTGAAAACAATTTCATGTACGGAAAAAGCTGTAATATTTTCTCTATGCATATTTACTTCAAATTCTCCAAACCGTAGATTTTTTCTATAATATTATGCGACAGATCTAATCTGACGATGCTCCAGCAATTCCTCAAGCTACCAATGTCCGTCATATTATTGTACGATAGATTCACGTAGGTGAGATACCAGGGAGGCATGAAACTCAAGGAACACTCGACCTTATTGTTCGATGCATCCAAGTACATCAAATATGGTAGATTGCTCAGAACTGATAAGCTCGAGACACTATTGTGAGCGATGTCAATGTATTGTAAATAACGATGATACCGCAACATAGCAATATCCGTGAGACTCTGTAAAGACAAGAGTGGAATGAAGTAAAAGAAGATGCAAAGAACCCAAATGCAAAGAACTTCTGTGCTATCTTAGACATTTAAATACAATATTTATATTTAAGTAATAATATATATATATATATATATAAATTGTTTTATTACTCAACTATTATAATTATATTAATTAATTATTTTATTATTAAATTATATTTAGATGATAATAATTTATAAAATACGAAAACAAAACTCTACAGATTTTTCTGTAGAGAGGCTGTACATATTGGGTGCTTTCCAATTGCTTAACACACTTGACACACACGTACGCATTTATTGGCCACATATTACCTAAAATATCTTGCAAGATAATACGCAACCAATAAGCTGGTTTTGTGTAACACAGTGTACGCAACTGAAAAGCACCCATAGACTTTTCTTTTCTGACTGTATGCGGAGTCTGTAAGGGTTATCGCACACAATTGACATACCTGCATATGCATAGCATAAGACCGTATGTACCAATGAGCATCGAGTATTAAGTCGCCATATTGGTGTTCGATGCTTAATATTCGATGCTCATTGGTCCATACGATCTTATGCTATGCATATGCAATTATGTCAATTGTGTGCGATAGCCCTAAATCTGTTCTTTATAGCTGCACTGCTGAACTAGTGCAATAAGTTAGAGTGAGAAAACGTATATTTGTCTCACTTCAATATATTACACCAGTTCAGCAGTGCAGCTACAAAGAACGGATCTTATGTATATTATGTCTATGGTCTCTTTCTACATGGCTGTGTAACGTCCGGATCTATTTTAGAACATTAATAATATATTATTATAGACCGGGAGGCCGACTTGTCTGATTTCAGACATCACTAGATATTTTATCCCTACGTTACTAGATGTAAGTACGTGCGCATATGCATATTCGCGAGCGTTAAAACATTATAATTAAAATGCCGAATGCTGCGTGCTGCTGGAGAGTCTCGAAATCGACGGATCGACCCAAAGAAACCGCTATCGCTCAGTGCGATAAGCCAACATAAACAGGAGCATGAAAACTGAATCCCAAACACCACTCAGGACACCGACGCGGTGACATCATGCAAAGGAATGAATCTCTTCCCTCGCCATAACTCCATGGACCAATCGGAGAACGACTCTCAGCGACAAAGCGAC